TCTGTATTTATTTATCTGTATATGTAACGTATGCATGTATATTTTTTACTGCTCTGTTTGGATAACCTTATTTACTGTTATGTATAGATTTAATTTTTTACTCTTTATGCGATGCGCGCTGTAGATAGCACCGGAAGAAGAATTATCACTGAATTATCACAGTGAATTATTGTAATGTTTGTTTATGTGTCAATGAATCTCATAAGGGATGGGTTGCCAACTGCCGATTTGACACGAAAATAACATTTCATTTCATTCACACACACACAACAGACAGACAGACAGACACACGATAGACAGACATATAGGTCAGGACTGCAGTTTGACCCAGTTCCTGTTTGGAGCTTAAAACTCCAGTCCAGGATTTCTATCTTCCCAATACTGATGTCAGCCAGTTAAAGCATGACCTAAATCAGTGGTCACCAACCTTTTCTGAGCCGAGATCACTTTCTGAGTCAAAATGCAGGCCGAGATCTAGCGCTCAGATATTTTTTTAAACATTACTTAAAAAATTTAAGCCTATGCAACATTAACCTATTCAAAACAGTTCTGTAGCAATGAGGTTTGTGCAGTAGGCTATAGGCTCAATACATTATCACTATTCTTGAGTTGCCCTGCCAATGTTCTTCTCAGACCATTTAAAAAATAATATTTCAAAACTTGAGGTATATGATCACACTGGTAATAGATCATTTGTTGTATTACTCATGAGGCATGAATTGAAATAATTATTTAAAAAAATATTTTACTGGACTGATGATGCCTGCATCTGATGGTCAGTCTCGGGAGAGGGAGAGCGAGACCAGCGGAGAGGCTGCCTCTCACCGTCCCTCAGCTCTCCCTCCCTCCGCTGACTGCTGACTGACCAAAAAGGGGGCACCGTCTTCCAGCTAATGACGAAACTCGCGTTACACTTTATTATTTCTGACTCATGCACCAATTCATGTTGTTACTCGTATGACCAGAGAACGTGAAATATTCCTTGATACTAAAAAGACACAAGCAAGTCTATCAATACACTTTGTAGCACGAGTGGATAGGAAGAGGGCGTTTTATGGCGTATAAAGTGTTGACAGTGCTGAATAAAATCTTAAACATGAATTCACTCATAAAAACAGCAGTCCCTCTAGTCATGGTTTTTAAAGTTTTGAAATCTCACACCGTAGAGTTGACTATCAACTTCGCTTTGGGCTCGTGGTAGCTGCAGACCATTGACTGTATATACTGCAGACATGGTGATCTGAGCTATCTGATTGGCCAGCGGTAGGCCTATAGGTGCACTTGATTTGGTCTCCGGGCTTGCTGGGTAGGCAGAGTTTGTACCTTCAGACACATGAAATGGTAAAAAATGGGAACACTTCAACTACCCGGTGCACAGGGCAGCTGGATCAAGTGCACCTACCGCAAACAGCGTGGCACGAATAAAAAAATAGGAATGCAAGCCTCGTTGGGCTTTTTACAGAAATGTTTGGTCGACCGGTTGGTGACCACTGGCCTAAATCCTTTAACCCAAAGTGCTGCATGCCATTTTCTTTCTCTTCTCACAAATTGACTCTAGGATATGAAATGCCTCGGTGATAATTGTTTGTTTTCACTATTGCGTGAACCCAAAATAATATTATCTGTTTTTTGAAAGCGCCGCTCTGTAGTTCCTGAGAGATTTGGCCTACTCATGGTGGAACACAAATGTTATGTAACTACCTGACACTCCCGAGTTTGTGTGTGTGTAGTTGAATGACAAAAGGACACGGAGAGTGAGGCACTCTCAGTGACTGCTGATGCCTTTGCCGTGTAAGTTTGGAGTTTGGAGCGATGTGTATGTGTGTGTGCGTGCATACTTTTGTGTTCATGCATGCGTGTGTGTGTGGGAAGGCAAACAGCCATGGATGCAGTTGTTACACTTCAGCAGTAATGATTCCCCCAGTGCAACTAGCAGCCCGCCATAACTCTCATCAATTAACATCCTTGCCAGTTTCACGGCCCCCCCCCCAAAAAAACGCTTCTCTTTCACGCTACATTTACAGCAACAATAATTTATTTCCAAAATTCAAGTGATTACTCAGGATACACTCGTGAGTGCAGAAACCCTCCCCAGCCCTCAGCGTGTATCCTACGAAGCCTGAAAATAACTTTAGTCGTTTTCTTTGCAGCTGCTTGGCTCATGGTAGTGGTTGTATGTATTAAGTAGTGAAGTAAATATTAGGTTACTCACCTGGAATTTTAACCATTTGCAAACCCTGTCCCCGTATCCCATCCCCTCTGATACAAATCTTAATTAAACTAAAAGCATTACAACATTTTAGGGCAAATGTAATATTATCCCAAGTCGATTAGTATTCTAGTTCTTTTTAGATTCCCACACAGTCAAAATTATGCTTTGTGTGTGTTTGTGTTTGTTTACACTTGTGTATGTGTTAATCATAATCTAGGCAAAATTGTTTAACTGTGGAGACTTCACATCTCAGGATACCTCATCGGTGTCAGGCCAGATTACATGGAGTCTCTATATGCTACCGGAAGTTTTGAATCCAATGGGTTGCTTTAGCATTAGCTAGCCTAGCATGCTGACGAAAAAGGCAGTTTCATTAAAAACTAGCAGTATTTCAATCTTTTCGATTTGTCAGTTGGGATAATGGGATACTTAGGAGGACACTGCCATCTCCCATCACTGGATTGAGGTACGTTTTCTGAGCCGTATCTTGCGCCGGCTCCACACTGTTCTGATCATGGCATAGCACCGTTCCAACTAGAGAGAAGTAATGAACGTCTAGTCGGATTCTTATGGCTACCTGAAAGGTAGATGTTATCATATTAAAGAAAATGTCAAATACGATTAGCTTTGCTGTGTGTGTGTGTGTGTGTGTGTGTGTGTGAATGCGTGTGTGTTTCTTTGTGGGGGTAGGTTTTAAGAAAAGAACATGATTGCGTTTCACATCCTGCAATTACGCCTGAAAAGTCGCCACACAGCTTTGACAAGGCATTCAGCATTGTGTGCCGTTGCAAACACCCTTGATTAGGGACACTTGCTCGTAGCTGAACAGACCCTCGGCAATCTCGAGCTCCTGCGATTTCCCAATGAACGGACACAAAGGAAAATCAACGGAGCTTGAAAAATATTGAAAATAAGTGCTGATATTCAGAAAAAGGGACTGTACATTTGTACAAACACACACCTGCTCGATAATAACCAAAGCATTACTTCAGCAGTGTGGCTGTTAGGTTGAAGATGGAGGAGAAAATGGAGAAGGCGGGAGTGAGAGATTCGAGCGAACCAAAGCAACATCAGACGCAGGGCTCATTGTACTGAGCAGTGAGAGAAAGACAGGCTTTGTGCGATCCTTATCTTAATTCCTTGGGTTTTCAACACCGGTTCTACCTCCTATTGACAGTCAAAACATCAGCATTACACGGGGAGAGACACACAAATGGTGTAACCCAAGAAACCTCACATTCATTGACCCGCCTGCGTTGATGCATACATACAAAGTCATACATGCGCACAAACACACACATACATGCACACACATGCACGCACGCACACACACACAGCATCTGCATCTCGTTGGCAGCTTTTCATTCATCGCCATTCGACGCTCACCGACTGGTTAGACTGTTGGCTTTCTAATCATTTTAAGGGTTCCGTTTGCACACATGCAAGAAAAGGAGAAAAAAGTAGAAGAACATAATTAACGCTGGTGACGTATACTGGGGGCTTGTGAGGAAATAAAACTCCCACTGAAAAAAAAAATCTAACAGATACAAGCAAAGGGTTGTATCTTGGGGTAGTGTCGAAAAGAAAGGGGCAGAGAGAGCGAGAGAGAGAGTCATGCGGGATGCTTTCGCTCATTAACTAAATATTGCGGTGCAACGCTGATATCATTCACCCCAGGGCCCTCACTCTCCCATAGGAACCTTGTTTCTCAAGTCTTTCCAGGACCCCATTCACACTGGAGATGTTAAGCCAGCATGATGAATAATGTCAAAAGCGGGTGACGGGAGAGAATATTCAGGGCGCACAGCGAGAGGGAGAAAAGGGAGAATATACATGCAAACTGTCCCGTTAAATGATTCGGCATGTCTATCCCACAGACGGAGCGCCTGGGTGTGAGCATATTTATTGTTTAGGAATTATTGGTGGGTTTTCTCTGGCCGGGAACACTGGCCTGTGGACCACTCGTCGAGTTCGGCCCTCATTAAATCCTGTTTTACTCTTTTTTTTGTGTGTATGTGATCAAAAGAAATACAGCTGGTTTTCCAAATAAAAGGAACAACTGTTTGCATCTAGCAGGAATAATTCCTGGGCTGGGCCCCAAGTGGCAATCTATTCCCTATAGTGCAATACTTTTGACCAGAGCGTTATGGGCCCTGGTAAAAAGTAGTGTACTATATCAGGAATAGGGTGCCATTTGGGACACAGTGCTGGAAGGTCGCTGCGAGGCTGACCCGAGTCTCGTGCCGCGGCACCGGTCTCCAGCTTCTCAAAGACATCAGGGAGCTTCTTAGGGCAGCCTCTGCATGTTTTGTGCATGCAGAACTCCTGTGTTTGTGTCAGTGTGTGTGTTTCTGTAGGGGTTACTCTTTCTCTCCAGGGCAGCCACTGCGACCTGCTCTGATCTCTCCCAGCATCAAACCCATCCTTTCATACTTCAGGAGGGGCTGGGAGGGACTTGACACTTGTAAAACACGCAGCAGACCCATAACAAAATGGGAGGTGGATAAAAAGAAGAAAAAAAGGGCAAACACACACAAAAGTGTTTTGCCGCCCTTGTTGGCGTGGCTGTCTGAAAGAGGTGGTGTGGGAGTATTTGAAAACACACTCTTGCGCCACATGTACACGCACAGTGACGAGTGATGTCACTGCTCTCCAATGTGAAGCGCACTCATTACAGGGTTTGTTTGTTGAAGGCTGCAGCGTAATTGCCCACTTCCCCCCTCCTCCTCACAGCCATACCACCATTTCACCACCTCAGGGGTGTGTCGCAAGGAGTGATTGGCAGCTAATGGGGCAGGCGTGCTTTGAGTCAAGCGTGCTGCTGGTGTTTGGGACGGGCGACAGCTCAGGCCACACCCCCCTCGGTGGTCAGACGAAGCTCACTCTAACCCCCTCTCCAATTGTTTCAAGATGAGTTTGGTTCGCTTGTCCCTTCTTGAGAGCCAATACAAGCCAGACATCCTTTCTACTGCTGGGGGGATGAATGGAAATGATCTGCACTGGCAAGTGTAAACAAATACTGCAGCTCTTTTCAAGGTGCGCACAAATACACACATATGCACGCACACACACAAACACACACTCGTGCTCTCTCTCTCTCTGTCTCTCTCTCACGCACGCACTTTGATCTTCTGCTGTTATCCTCTATGCAGCGCGAAGACTACTTCCCCTCCTTGCCGCTGTGTCCAGTCCAAAGACGTCTACATCACAGGGCAGACACATCCAATAGTGTCCCTAAAATACAATACCCTAAAATACCTCAATGTCTATTTTCATTTCAGAAAATATTAAGTAGGTCATAGTTGCATAAGCTTTCATAAAATTATATTTAATCTGTGGAGATACCATGGTTATTTTATGCCCTATATATTATAATATATCACATTTGTATTTATGGAGCTACAAATACATATTCATAAATGTAGGAATGTGAATTGTAGTATTTAGGGGATAAAGGAAACAGTGCCTTGGATACTATTTTTATTAAAATACCTCTGTTTTATAATTTCAACAAAGCTTTGAAATACATTTTGTTCCTTAAATATTAAAGGTGAATTCGGGGTGATTAAGAATGAGTTATCATGCTCCTTTTCCTCTTCTCAAGACATTTCCACCATCTTGATTTCATTTCCAAGAATTCAAAAACATACATATAGTTGGACATTTTTCATTATATTTTAGTTTCTTTGTCCCCCAATATATGTTATTAATATAAGTTATTGCACTGATTTAAATCCATAATTTTTTATTCCTGTAATATTTTAAATGTTTATGAATACCTTCATGCCCCTGCCTATTTAATCACCTATGGAACTCTAGATGGCAGTATTCAGCTTCCAGCTGTACGGCTTCATAAGGGGTTTATTAAAGCAGCAATCAGCAGTTTAAACAATAACAAAGCTAACGCCCCACCTCTGTTTTGGAAAAAACCTGAGGGATAGGGCTGGAGAAATGTAACCACTTTCAATTTCATTGACAGCTATGGATGCAAGGACTGACCATCCATGATATACAAATGATAGTTTTAACTATGTTTTGAGGCTATATAGTGTTTATTTACATTTACTTTGTTTACAAACATTGGAGGGAAACAAGCTTATGTTTTGGGTTCTGATGGGGTACGACAGTTGAAATAAGCTCATGAGCCATGTGTTATATTCTTCAAGAATCAATGGGTACTTTTCTTTAAGTCCAAAAATGGATGAACCAACTGCATATTGTCCCTTTAAATAAGAATTACAATGATCCATGGGATCTGTCTGTCTCCATCCATAACCATGGCAAAACTAAGTTAGGTTAATTATTATATGACATTTTTTTACATTACAATTTCACAGAATAAGCACCATATTAGGAATGTACAGGTCTGGTATATGGGCCAGTTGAAAACAAGCACCAGCATTTAGTCATTTATCATCAGGCTGGGATAGCAGCAATCGTGTGTGTGTGTGTGTGTGGTGTTAGCCTTGGACAAGCATGTGTACAAGCCATTCAAAGCGGGTCAAGGCAGGTTACTTTTTGTGAAGTGTTGGTCTGGTAAGTCCCAGGACCTTTAACATGCTCTGGACTGCTCCCACTCCCAGCTCAAGTTTCTCTGTCGGAATTAGCCATTATAAACGCGACAAAGGAATAAAACAGTAATTGAGAAGGCGGCGAAACCGGAGCCCCATTTAACCGGCTGACCAGCTGGATCACCGCTCTCCCTTTTTGCCTTCGTGTTGCAATAACAGTCCATTCTGGTGGCTGTTGAACTGCGCCGATACCCCTGAGTGTTTGAGGCCATATCGGAGTTTGAGAAAGCCAGGCTTTGTTTACACTAATGTAGGCATAATAAGGCAGGCTAGTCTTACTGAGAGAGATTAATCACGACCGTGCATTTGAGTGTCTGCAGAGTATTTAAACACAAACAGAATGGGAGTCGAGAACGAGCACTGATTCATTGATCCATTAATACGTATATTATTATAGGGCTCTCTCTGCTCTATCCAATGCCCTTAAGGCTCTACTCAGCTTACTGTGTCAGACAGCTATGTGGGGGGAATTTGTACTTTTTCTCTTATGACTGAACCGTCCAAAATCCACCCATCGTATGTGCTTTAAGGTTAATAATCAGGATCATTAAAGTGTGAATACATCAAAGTCGATTTAAACCAAATGGTTGATTCACGTGGGGCTAATCGCACGCAGAACGCCCGTCCACGGAGCTACATTTTACATGTGCCTATAGAAACATTGGCAGGTTACTTATGCATCAAAGACACGTATCCAGGTGCAAAAAAAAAAAGAGAGAGAGACATTTTCCCGGGGTATGTAACTGATTCACTATGTACCTAGCTGACATTCACTCTGATCCCAACCTTTAAATTGGAAGAATTGAAATCGACCGGGGAAAAAAATATAAATAAAACGATGATATAAACATGTATGTTTTGTTTGTTCTCGTTTGCTCTCTCACTCTCTTGCAGTGGGATTGATATATTTACAGTTGTCAATGTGAATTTGGGAAAAACTCAAGGTTAAAACGTATAATCTTTTCGTTTTTATTGAATGCCTCTCGGAACACGTGCTCTTTAAGCCCCTGCCTGAGACACTTAAGGAAATCAGAGCAGGATTTTAGAGGCTACGGGGGTTCATTAGGCGCAGACTGGCCTGACTATCACCGAGCAAGAGAAGAAGGCGAGAGAGAGAAGGGGAAGGAGAGAAGGAGATTGAAAGGGTTGAGAGAGATGGAAGGAGTGAAGGGGAGAAAGAGAGAGTAGGGAGTGAAGGAGAGAGATGGGGAGAAAGAAAAGGAGAGCAGTAGAGAGAGAGAGAGAGATAGAAGGAAATAAGGAGAGAAAAGAGACAGAAAGTGATGGAGATCAACAGAGAGCGAGAGAAAGAAAGAGAAAGAGCGAGTCTGTTATGCTGCCGGTCTCCCAGTGACAGATTGACACCACAAATCACACTGAAAAATTAGACAAGCCAAGAAAAAACGCAGCCGGGATTACCAATGGCAACTGCACTACCCATTCAGCACACAGTACAGTACATACCCCCATGCTCTCTTTGTGTGTGTCATACACTATGTGAGGGGCATATAAATGAAAAGCACACTCTTCTCCCTTTCTCTTTCCCTTTCTATTATGTTCTCTCTTCTGAAGGTGGGACATGAGGCTAAAATCTCTCAGGCACTGGGATAAACATACTTCACTGAGCGAGAGAGAACACTGGGATAGGAGAAGCTAAATGGCTGACACTGTAAATCTAAGGCACCTCCTGCATTGTCAGACCTTGATGAGTGCTCTTTGTTGGTTTTTGTTTGGTTATCTGCGGGGCAGGCAAGGTTACTAGCTCTTTGCGGCTACTGTAACCCAGTGTGTGTGTGTGTGTGTGTGTGTGTGTGTGTACATGCTTGTGTCAAGGTACAGCTTTCCGATGGTACTGTTGCCAGTCTGTGCTCAAAGGGCCCAGGGACAATGGGGGCAACAGGACCTGGTAGGGTTACGGCCGCTACAGTAAATTCATTGATTTAGCGCACTGTTGCCAACCCTAGCGCCACTACGCTCAGTGGTGCATGGAGCCTAGGTTGTGATGTAAATATGATCTTACAGCAGCGCTCCCTAAGCCCTGGCACACATCAGCGAGCACCTTTGTGCTGGGGATTAGCGATTGGCCGTCCAGGAGAGAAACGCAGAGCCTTGGTACCTAGGGAGCATTTGCAGTGTTTCTGTCTTGGGGCCATTTGCTGACGCAAATACAGTGTGTAGATTGAGCTTACTACAGGAAATAGAACTGACTTAGTGTGTGCACCTGGAGGTTTCCCTTCTTGTTTGTGTAAATGTAGTGTTATTTAAATATATATGTGTGTGTGTGTGTGCCTATGTGTGTTTTCACAACCTAATGCTAAGCTAATTACACCAAATGGTGGCAGTGCTGTGTGTATGAAAAGGTAAAGAGGTGGCGCGAATGTGTCACCGGGGGAGTAGTGTTATCTCGTTGTGGCGCTCAAGGACTGAAACCTGATCCCGCCGTTAGCGCTGGCTGCGCCGCCGTCATTTGAACTCCCTTTTAGGCAGAATTCAATCAGTGTTCTCTCCTTGATATGCTGGCCCCTTTTTTTTTGCTGCTCACAATTCCCCCACCATCTGGGGATGAGAACGCCGAAAATAATAGATTTTGTGATGTCCGGTATAACGCTTAATATCTGAATCCGTTGTCCCGACTGACTGACAACGTTTTTACCCTTTTGCCTTTTTGAAAGAAAGGAGGCCATTCTTAAATTTTGCAAGAATGAAAACGAATTATATAGGGCTTTTGCATGGAGCCACTGTGAGTGAATCCTCTGAACGTTTTATCCCATTCATATGGCTTGTGCTGCTTGTACTGAGCTACTGTACTGTGTTATTGGGCTTGTTCGACATTGTAGTCGACATTGCCCACCGACTGATCTACAAATCACCTAGCATCATAAATAACTATTCCTTATTATTTGTAGATCAGTCAGTCAGGCACAATTTACTCACAATGCTGTACAGGTTTGATGCTCTCAAACACGGAGAAATAAGAGCCTGTTTGTATTGGCTGGCAGTGCCATCGTCCCATAGGACACAGGGGGCAGTAGCACGCCACGGACCGAGCTCCCGGTCACTGTCATTGGCTCACAGAGACGGGGTCACATATCTGGTGACAGCTGCCCCCCCCCCCCCCCCCCCCCCCCACTGCCCACCAGACAGGATGTGGGCCCAGGTCAAAGGTCACAGGACCAGGCTCTAAAGTGTCCTCCAACCAATAAACACTAACCCCCCTCCCTAACATACACTCACGCGTGCGCACACACGTCCCCCTCCCTCCTCTCACTAATCTCCCTAAAGTGCACAAGCAAAGACCACATTGGAAATAAGTGTTCAATAATGTTGCTTAATCCATTCTTATAATCATAAGTAACACAACATAAAGAGAGACATTACAATGCTTTCATGTTTTATCCTCTGGGCTTTGTACTTCGCAACTGTACAATGTCTTAAGACAATAAATAAATCAAATCAATTCAAAAGTGTTTTTTAAAATTGTTTTTCACTGTTGAAAATTTTTTTATTTTAATAATTTCTCCTGCAGATCAATCGAGCGCCGAGCTTCGGGACCGATCAAAAGATTGATTACGACGTGAAGAAAGGGGTCTTGCTCAACGCACTGAAACTTCTCAACATCAGGTAGGCCTATAGATGCGGTGTATCAGCAACACTTCTACAATATCATCATCCGCACGGCCTCCCGAGGCCCATTATGAGTTCATCAAAAAGCATACGCTGAACTTTTGCATGGCCAAGGCTTTTGAATGTTTTAGATTTGTATTGATTCTCTTTATTTCACCACAAACATTTTCAATTCTTTGATGTGCGCACTATCTACCCCTCTTGTTATTAGTTTTAGAGCGATTTCATTAGAGATACGGAGTGCGTTGTTTACTAGGCTTCTGTATTTTGTTTTAACAACTGCTAATGCTGCAGTCCTTGTAAAAGTGGGTTACGTGCTGGATTGTTGGATGGCGAAAAAAAAGAGTTACAAAGCTTAGGCCCTCTTCATTGCTCCATGCTCTTTGTGCATTGTTCAATCGGTCGTTATGTGTTACTTACAGTATGCTTTATGGTGTACTGTATATGTGTGTGTGTGTGTGTGTGTGTGTGTGTGTGTGTGTGTGTGTGTGTGCAGAGTTTCCACTATATTCCTTTAGCAGCGGTGGCCCACCCCTACTAAATTATTGCCACCGCTGCAAAGAATATGATGTAATATATACAGTTGAAGTCGGAGGTTTACATACACTTAGGTTGGAGTCATTAAAACTCGTTTTTCAACCACTCCACAAATTTCTTGTTAACAAACTATAGTTTTGGCAAGTCAGTTAGGACATCTACATTGTGCATGACACAAGTAATTTTTCCAACAATTGTTTACAGACAGATTATTTCACTTATAATTTACTGTATCACAATTCCAGTGGGTCAGAAGTTTACATACACTAAGTTGACTGTGCCTTTAAACAGCTTGGAAAATTCCAGAAAATTATGTCATGTCTTTAGAAGCTTCTGATAGGCTAATTGACATCATTTGAGTCAATTGGAGGTGTACCTGTGGATGTATTTCAAGACCTACCTTCAAACTCAGTGCCTCTTTGCGTGACATCATGGGAAAATCAAAAGAAATCAGCCAAGACCTCAGAAAAAAAGATTGTAGACCTCCACAAGTCTGGTTCATCCTTGGGAGCAATTTCCAAATGCCTGAAGGTACCATGTTCATCTGCACAAACAATAGTACGCAAGTATAAACACCATGGGACCACGCAGCCATCATACCGATCAGGAAGGAGACTCGTTCTGTCTCCTAAACGTACTTTGGTGCGAAAAGTGCAAATCAATCCCAGAACAACAGCAAAGGACCTTGTGAAGATGCTGGAGGAAACAGGTACAAAACAGGTACAAAAGTATCTATATATCCACAGTAAAACGAGTCGTATATCGACATAACCTGAAAGTCGGCTCAGCAAGGAAGAAGACACTGCTCCAAAACTGCCATAAAAAAGCCAGACTAAGGTTTGCAACTGCACATGGGGACAAAGATTGTACTTTTTGGAGAAATGTCCTCTGGTCTGATGAAACAAAAATAGAACTCTTTGGCCATAATGACCATCGTTATGTTTGGAGGAAAAAGGGGGAGCTTGCAAGCCGAAGAACACCATCACAACCGTGAAGCACGGGGGTGGCAGCATCATGCTGTGGGGGTGCTTTGCTGTAGGAGGGACTGGTGCACTTCACAAAATAGATATCATCATGAGGAAGGAAAATTATGTGGATATATTGAAGCAACATCTCAAGACATCAGTCAGGAAGTTAAAGCTTGGTCGCAAATGGGTCTTCCAAATGGACAATGAACCCAAGCATACTTCCAAAGTTGGGTGAATTTTGGCCCATTCCTCCTGACAGAGCTGGTGTAACTGAGTCAGGCCATTTGGCTTAAGGACAACAAAGTCAATGTATTGGAGTGGCCATCACAAAGCCCTGACCTCAATCCTATAGAAAATGTGTGGGCAGAACTGAAAAAGCGTGTGCGAGCAAGGAGGCCTACAAACCTGACTCAGTTACACCAGCTCTGTCAGGAGGAATGGGCCAAAATTCACCCAACTTATTGTGGGAAGCTTGTGGAAGGCTACCCAAAATGTTTGACCCAAGTTAAACAATTTAAGGGCAATGCTACCAAATACTAATTGAGTGTATGTAAACTTCTGATCCACCTGGGAATGTGATGAAATAAATAAAAGCTGAAATAAATCATTCTCTCTACTATTATTCTGACATTTCACATTCTTAAAATAAAGTGGTGATCCTAACTGACCTAAAACAGGGAATATTTACTAGGATTAAATGTCAGGAATTGTGAAAAACTGAGTTGAAATGTATTTGGCTAAGGTGTATGTAAACTTCCGACTTCAACTGTATATATTTGTATGTACAGTGGGGAGAACAAGTATTTGATACACTGCCGATTTTGCAGGTTTTCCTACTTACAAAGCATGTAGAGGTCTGTAATTTTTATCATAGGTACACTTCAACTGTGAGAGACGGAATCTAAAACAAAAATCCAGAAAATCACATTGTATGATTTTTAAGTAATTAATTTGCATTTTATTGCATGACATAAGTATTTGATACATCAGAAAAGCAGAACTTAATATTTGGTACAGACACCTTTGTTCTAATTACAGAGATCATACGTTTCCTGTAGGTCTTGACCAGGTTTGCACACACTGCAGCAGGGATTTTGGCCCACTCCTCCATACAGACCTTCTCCAGATCCTTCAGGTTTCGGGGCTGTCGCTGGGCAATACGGACTTTCAGCTCCCTCCAAAGATGTTCTATTGGGTTCAGGTCTGGAGACTGGCTAGGCCACTCCAGGACCTTGAGATGCTTCTTACGGAGCTTCTCCTTAGTTGCCTTGGCTGTGTGTTTCGGGTCGTTGTCATGCTGGAAGACCCAGCCACGACCCATCTTCAATGCTCTTACTGAGGGAAGGAGGTTGATGGCCAAGATCTCGCGATACATGGCCCCATCCATCCTCCCCTCAATATGGTGCAGTCGTCCTGTCCCCTTTGCAGAAAAGCAACCCAAAGAATGATGTTTCCACCTCCATGATTCACGGTTGGGATGGTGTTCTTGGGGTTGTACTCATGCTTCTTCTTCCTCCAAACACGGCGAGTGGAGTTTAGACCAAAAAACTATATTTTTGTCTCATCAGACCACATGACCTTCTCCCATTCCTTTTCTGGATCATGCAGATGGTCATTGGCAAACTTCAGACGGGCCTGGACACGCGCTGGCTTGAGCAGGAGGACCTTGCGTGCGCTGCAGGATTTTAATCCATGACGGCGTGGTGTGTTACTAATGGTTTTCTTTGAGACTGTGGTCCCAGCTCTCTTCAGGTCATTGACCAGGTCCTGCCGTGTAGTTCTGGGCTGATCCCTCACCTTCCTCATGATCATTGATGCCCCACGAGGTGAGATCTTGCATGGAGCCCCAGACCGAGGGTGTTGACCGTCATCTTGAACTTCTTCCATTTTCTAATAATTGCGCCAACAGTTGTTGCCTTCTCACCAAGCTGCTTGCCTATTGTCCTGTAGCCCATCCCAGCCTTGTGCAGGTCTACAATTGTATCCCTGATGTCCTTACACAGCTCTCTGGTCTTGGCCATTGTGGAGAGGTTGGAGTCTGTTTGATTGAGTGTGTGGACAGGTGTCTTTTATACAGGTAACGAGTTCAAACAGGTGCAGTTAATACAGGTAATGAGTGGAGAACAGGAGGGCTTCTTAAAGAAAAACTAACAGGTCTGTGAGAGCCGGAATTCTTACTGGTTGGTAGGTGATCAAATACTTATGTCATGCAATAAAATGCAAATAAATTACTTTAAAATCATACAATGTGATGTTCTGGATTTTTGTTTTAGATTCCGGCTCTCACAGTTGAAGTGTACCTATGATAAAAATTACAGACCTCTACATGCTTTGTAAGTTGGAAAACCTGCAAAATCGGCAGTGTATCAAATACTTGTTCTCCCCACTGTATATTTCTTCCGAGATACGCTTTTAAATGGATTGTCTTTGGCTCAATGACTGGAAGTATATGGGAACAGCTAGCATGTCATTGCACCTGCGTGTGTGCTCATGCTATATGCACTATTTATTGTAAGTGTGTACGATATGTTATACTCTATGTAGTGTGTATCAAATAAAATAAATAAATTGTATTGGTCACGTACAGATATTTTGTTGATGTTATCGTGGGTGTAGAGAAATGCTTATGTTTCTAGCTCTAACAGTGCAGTAAAACAAAACAATACACACAAATCCCCAAAATAAAGTAATATAGAAATAGTAGAACGTCAGAGTCCGGAATATAAATGTATATGATGGTGTGTATAGAAATTATGGACAGTATATGAATAGAAAAGGTGTGTACAGCAGTAGTTTTATATAGGATGAGCCTTGACTAGAATACAGTATACAGTGGGGAGAACAAGTATTTGATACACTGCCGATTTTGCAGGTTTTCCTACTTACAAAGCATGTAGAGGTCTGTAATTTTTATCATAGGTACACTTCAACTGTGAGAGACGGAATCTAAAACAGAAATCTAGAAAATCACATTGCATGATTTTTAAGTAATTAATTTGCATTTTATTGCATGACATAAGTATTTGATCACCTACCAACCAGTAAGAATTCCGGCTCTCACAGACCTGTTAGTTTTTCTTTAAGAAGCCCTCCTGTTCTCCACTCATTACCTGTATTAACTGCACCTGTTTGAACTCGTTACCTGTATAAAAGACACCTGTCCACACACTCAATCAAACATTCTCCAACCTCTCCACAATGGCCAAGACCAGAGAGCTGTGTAAGGACATCAGGGATACAATTGTAGACCTGCACAAGGCTGGGATGGGCTACAGGACAATAGGCAAGCAGCTTGGTGAGAAGGCAACAACTGTTGGCGCAATTATTAGAAAATGGAAGAAGTTCAAGATGACGGTCAACACCCTCGGTCTGGGGCTCCATGCAAGATCTCACCTCGTGGGGCATCAATGATCATGAGGAAGGTGAGGGATCAGCCCAGAACTACACGGCAGGACCTGGTCAATGACCTGAAGAGAGCTGGGACCACAGTCTCAAAGAAAACCATTAGTAACACACCACGCCGTCATGGATTAAAATCCTGCAGTGCACGCAAGGTCCCTCTGCTCAAGCCAGCGCATGTCCAGGCCCGTCTGAAGTTTGCCAATGACCATCTGGATGATCCAGAGGAGGAATGGGAGAAGGTCATGTTGTCTGATGAAACAAAAATATAGCTTTTTGGTCTAAACTCCACTCGCCGTGTTTGGAGGAAGAAGAAGGATGAGTACAACCCCAAGAACACCATCCCAACCGTGAAGCATGGAGGTGGAAACATCATTCTTTGGGGATGCTTTTCTGCAAAGGGGACAGGACGACTGCACCGTATTGAGGGGAGGATGGATGGGGCCATATATCGCGAGATCTTGGCCAACAACCTCCTTCCCTCAGTAAGAGCATTGAAGATGGGTCGTGGCTGGGTCTTCCAGCATGACAACGACCTGAAACACACAGCCAGGGCAACTAAGGAGTGGCTCCGTAAGAAGCATCTCAAGGTCCTGGAGTGGCCTAGCCAGTCTCCAGACCTGAACCCAATAGAAAATCTTTGGAGGGAGCTGAAAGTCCGTATTGCCCAGCGACAGCCCCGAAACCTGAAGGATCTGGAGAAGGTCTGTATGGAGGAGTGGGCCAAAATCCCTGCTGCAGTGTGTGCAAACCTGGTCAAGACCTACAGGAAACGTATGATCTCTGTAATTGCAAAGCAGAACTTATATTGTACCAAATATTAAGTTCTGCTTTTCTGATGTATCAAATACTTATGTCATGCAATAAAATGCAAATTAATTACTTAAAAATCATACAATGTGAATTTCTGGATTTTTGTTTTAGATTTTGTCTCTTACAGTTGAAGTGTACCTATGATAAAAATTACAGACCTCTACATGCTTTGTAAGTAGGAAAACCTGCAAAATCGGCAGTGTATCAAATACTTGTTCTCCCCACTGTATACATATGAAGTGGTTAAAACAGTATGTAAACATTATTAAAGTGACCAGTGTTCAATGACTATGTACATAGGGCAGCAGTCTCTAAGGTGCAGGGTTGAGATCCGGGTGGTAGCCGGCTAGTAACAGTGACTAAAGTTCAGGGCAGGTTACTGGGCGGAGGCCGGTTAGTGGTCACAATAAGTGTATGTATACGTGTCTGTGTGTGGGTACCTGTTTGTGTGTGTGCATGTGTGCCCGCGTGCATGTGTGCCTGTGTGTGCGCATGCGCATGTGTTTGTGTACACGTTTGCGTGTGTGATTGTATCCATACTGACTAGTTGTGGCCGTGCTGTCCCCAGGCTGCCCTGAGTCTCTACACTGATTGATCATCCCAGACCTGACCTCCAGCTCTCTGCTCTCTCTATGCCTCTCCATCACACGGCTAAATATAGTCCCCATACACTCCCCACAAACAACAACGAATGCCACTACATTAGGACTTACACACTGGAGTGGATCAAATACACCCCTACAATAGATCTGTTTGGCAGCACTGTGTAACAGTGATACATTGTGATACACTGAATGCAGCTCTATCCCAGTGCAGTACAATATAAATACCTTATCAGAAGAATTGGAAAAGATCTGCTTGGCAGCACTGTGTAACAGTGATACACTGAACGCAGCTCTAGGTCATCCCAGTACAGTATAGTAAATCATTAGAAGAAAAAGCATTTTGGAACAGCTCTAACGCAGTACAGTACAATTAATCCCTTATCAGAAGAATTTGTTTCATTGCTGATGTTTACGGCGTTCAGAAAGACTAAAAGGGGAGATTAGATTATTTCCCAACAAATAAATCTTGGCATGATGAAAGAACATTGAAACAACGTCTGGCACCAGACAAACTGCGTATGTTCACTGAGTGAAAGAAACATTGTTACATTTCCTTAAATAAGAATACCTTACCATTCTAAGGAGTGGGCCGGTGTAGCTGGTGGTGGCAGGGTGGGTTTGTGACTTGGTTCAATTGGAAAGGTGTAGAGCTGTGTGATATGAAAAAAATCCATATAGCAAAAAATTGCCTGAATTGATGTGATAATGATAAATAGAACAATACATTTATAACTTTAATGTACAACAGTTTTTATTTTTTATTTTATTATACTTTAAACTACTACTACTAGTTTGATGGTTGTAGTCATCAATTGTCCCATAACAAACGTATTTCATTTCAAACTTCACATTTCTCCAGTATAGGCTACGTAATGAACAATATCAGCAAAATTCCTGCGATAAGTGATCGGTATGGTCAGTGTCGATAACATTCGGTTTATAGTCCCAGCTCTAGAAAGGTGTCAACACAATCCGTATCCCTCCGCCCAAATGAGCTAGGGCAGTTCCCGGGGAATCCAGGACACAGAGTGACCCCAGAGCCCACTGCAGGGCACAATATTACATTTAAAGGGCTAGTGAGTGGGGACCATTGACTTCTTTATTAGGAATATGAAGAAAGTCAATGTTTCTGACTCCTTCCAACTTTACTTTTTTCAAATGCTTTGAGCATTTGATTGAGCCTGTCTGGAGTGTGGGTTTGCACTTTTTGGACGATATTCATTCCATTACTCGAGGGCAAACTCAGGTGCAGCTATGGTTTTTGAAAGAATCCAGGTTTGGTACGTTCAGCATTCCACTTTTTGTGCTTCAATGCCAAAAGAGAGAGGATGGGGGCTTTGAAAGAATAATCAAATTAGACTTTATAGAATTCGTAAATAAAGGTATTGGAGGGAAGCTAAATAAGAAAGAGAAAGTTTATTGTTTTCATTGTTTGTCTCTGTTGTGTTGTGGTTTCTTCTTTCAGAGCGAGCGACAAGAAGCGTAACCTGGCCCAGCAGAAGGCGGAGGCCCAGAGACGGCTCTACGGCCAGGGCTCCATGAAGAAGCTCTCGGCCGCCTCCTCCGAGGCAGAAAAACAGCGCCACACGCTGGAGCGGAGGAAAGAAGAACTGGTGCGTAAAAAAACAACTTTTTAAAATGATTTCAGTATTAGGAATTCCCTCTGCTTTAGTATTTTGAATGCACAATAATATATAATAATATAATATATGCCATTTAGCAGATTATGCACATTGTTATTGAACAGATATGGAGAGATCGACAGAAAGATGGATGAGATGTGTTAAAGGACAGTAGTCCTAAATAAAACGTATGTCGACATAGCCTTAACTATGCCGGTGGCAGTGACTCGAACAAGAAACAAAAACTTTTGACAGAATGAGAGAAACTACTGCTCTTTTCTTCCCCTTGTAAAAGTTTCAGTCGACAGCGTAACATTTCATTATACACGCTTTAGAAGTAGGCTGGTTGAGGTTGTCGCGTTCTCCAGAGCTAAGTGCCAGGTTTAAGTAGCTAGTGGGTTCCACCCCTTGATTAGTCCATTGATCAACCTTTAGCGGTCTGAAAGGAGGGGGCATATGGCAACACAAGCTATATTTTATTTTAAAAGGGCACGGTGAGATCCAAGTGTGGGTGATACATACGTCGCTACCCAGGGGTGAGTGTACGGACATGTACCAGAATTTAGCCGATCAGTGACTGTAATTGGAGGAACCCTGACTGACTCTCTTCGCAAAATCTACCATCTGACCTTCTCACAATTATGGCTCTTTGATGTATAAAAAAAATGGGAATGTGGGAGGAAAAATCCATGTGAATTTTAAATTGGCAGGGCCGGTGTAAAACAGGTGTTGAGGAGGGAGGACGACTCCTTTCTTTTCAACACTAGGCCTTTTGTGCTTCTCCGCTCTGTGCCTCTGACTTCATTAGTCCGATTCTAAATAGAGAAACGTGTCATTCCTTCACTCGTTGTTATTCAGAACCAAGTTACTTGTGCATTATTCCCTTTTTGTGTATTCTGACCTTGAACTTACGCATGGGGAAAAGCCAGTGCCAGCAAGGTACCAATTGGGGTGGAGATCAAAGAAATTGAGGTATGGCAGAGGTGTATACAGATAAGCGATATTCTGACCTTGACTTAATTCCCTAATAATTTCAACGTCTTCACGCACGAGGAAACCATGAATAAGGTTGAGCACCTTTCGGTTTCAAGTGAAAAAACATCTACTATTTCCATTCCGATAGAATTCCGATAGAAATAATACCATTCTCCATACACTGTAATTTATAAATTGATAAGAGCTATTGATAAGAGCTACGTAAATGAGTAATCGGTTTGGAGAAGGCGATTGTAAATACAAATAGCAGTTGTTTTAGATTATTTTTCCTTATGATCGCTGGAGATGAATGTGAAACAAGTCATATGGAAGCAAACTGAAAATCATATCAACATGACATGTATTGTGGCCCCTTTTCCACAGTGAAGTAGGCTATAAATAGCTGTGCCGTTATTACACATTTTACAGTGCCTTCATAAATTATTCATACCGCTTGACTTATTCCACTTTTTGTTGTGTCACATGTCATGACGTGACTTATATTAATATGGTGACTGTTATATATCGAATCAACTAACTATGTTTAATTGTCACTTGATTAAATTAATCATGTAACAATTAACTCATTCGGAATTTGGGGCACCACGGAAGAAGTTGTTTAACGAGTTACCATCTCCCGAATTAAACTCTTAGATATATATATATATCGATAACAGTCACTTATTAAATAATTACCTCTTATCAGTCTCATTCTGAACGTCGCATAATCCTTGAACCTGCAAGAACCCTAACTTTATTGATGAATCAGCAATACACAAATTGGCTTAATTATTTATTTACTAACTAACTAAATAATAACACAATACAAACACACACACACACACACACACACACAGGTTATTTTTTACTAACGTAATACAATGAAAACAGGTCCCTAATGGACTGGACTAACAATAGCATGAATGCTTGGAAGGGAGAGACAGAGATTCAAACTATCGTTGATACTTTGGAAACTACGCTCACGGAAATACAAATGTTTAGCACCCGCTCATTCGGATTAGAAATGCAACATGTATTTACGTGTAGCTGTCCTCGATAGTTGATGATGTAGGACTCTGGTTTGCCCACCAGAGATCCCAATGTCCTTGGTAGAGTTTCTGGACATAGTGGTGGTTAGAATGGATACTTCAGCATACCCTGTAGTTCGTAGTTGATCTGTTATATTAGATACTTCAGATGCACAAACGGTTGTCTGAGAGGGATTGTCCCTCCCAACTCGTGTCTTTAGTGAAAGTTCTCTAGACGACTATACATGCCAGCTGTGGACTGAGATGATAAGGTCTAGTGCGTTGTCTTCTTCTTCACCTCGTGTAGAGGTTGAGAGTTTCAGAGTTTCACCATTTTGCCATATTCAGCTCGCGCTGCATGTCGGCTGGTCTGTAGAGTTTAACCATTTTGTAATGTTTAGCTCACGCTTCACGTCTGCTGGTCTGTAGCGTGTCAACCATTTTAAGCCGTGGGGCTTCCTGGTCTAACCATTTTAAGCCGTGTAGCTTCAGCTTCACACTTCCTGGTCTGGTAGAAATGTGCAACATTTGCAACATCCGGCTTATACCGTAATCTGCTTGGTCTGAGGTGAATTTCGTTATGAGGGGTTTTATACTTGAGTAGAAAAGGGGGCGTTTCATCATGTTTGTGCTCATCTGGGCGTGGCCACTGACTGAGAACAAATCAATAGGGAATACAATCATCTCATCTAGAATGCTAACATCACATTATTATCTTCACAAAAGTATTATTATACTTAATCATTCGTTTTATACAACAATTAGATGCAAACCTCATAACCAGTCATAAAACTGTCCCCCAGGAAAGGGGGTGTTCAAACCTTTGCCGAGCCGGCATCTTTGATCCTCAACCCATGAGGGCAAGTCATGACACACAATATCCCATAATGGCAAAGTTAATACATGTTTTTAGAATTTTTTTGCAAATGTATTGAAAATGAAATCCAGAAATATCTCATTTACATAAGTATTCACATCCCTGAGTCAATACATGTTATAATCACCTTTGACAGCGATTACAGCTGTGAGTCTTTCTGGGTAAGTCTCTAAGAGCGTTACACACCTGGATTGTACAATGTTTGCCCATTTATTATTTTCAAAATTCTTCAAGCTCTGTCAAATTGGTTGTTGATCATTGCTAGACAGCCATTTTCAAGTCTTGCCCTAGATTTTCAACAGATTTAAGTCAAAACTGTAACTCGGCCATTCAGGAACATTCACTGTCTTCTTGGTAAGCAACTCCAGTGTAGATTTGGCCTTGTGCTTTAGGTTATTGTCCTGCTGAAATGTGAATTAATCTCCCAGTATCTGGTGGAAAGCAGACTGAACCAGGTTTTCCTCTAGGGTTTTGCCTGTGCTTAGCTCCATTCCGTTTATTTTTTTCCAGAAAAACAGTCCTTAACGATTAGAAACATACCCATAACATGATGCAGCCACCAATATGCTTGAAAATATGGAGAGTGGTACTCAGTAATGTGTTGTATTGGATTTGTCCCAAACACAGCACTTTGTATTCAGGACAAAATGTGAATTGCTTTGCCACATTCATTTTTTGCATTACTTTAGTGCCTTACATTACTTTAGTGCCTTGTTGCAAACAGGATACATGTTTTAGAATATTTGTATTCTGAACAGGCCTCCTTCTTTACACTCTGTCAATTAGGTTAGTATTGTGGAGTAACTACAATGTTGTTGATCCATCCTCGGTCTTCTCCTATCACAGCCATTAAACTCTGTAACTGTTTTAAAGTAACCACTGGTGAAATCCCTGAGCGTTTTCCTTCCTCTCGGGCAACTGAGGAAGGACGCCTGTATCTTTGTAGTGACTGGGTGGAGTGATACAAAGTGTGATTAATAACTTCACCCTGCTCAAAGGGATATTCAAGGTCTGCTAAATTTTTTTTACCCATCTACCAATAGGTGCCCTTCTTTGGGAGGCATTGGAAAACCTCCCTGGTCTTGAATCTGTGTTTGAAATTCACTGCTCGACAGGGACCTTACAGATAACTGTATGTGTGGGGTACAGAGATGAGGTAGTCATTAAAAAATCATGTTAAACACTATTATTGCACACAGAGTGAGTCCATGCAACTGATTATGTGTGTCCTGAGTGGCGCAGTGGTCTAAGGCACTGCATCGCAGTGCTAGCTGTGCCACTAGAGATCCTGGTTCGAATCCAGGCTCTGTCGTAGCCAGCCGCGACCGGGAGACCCATGGGGCGGCACACAATTGGCCCAGCGTCGTCCAGGGTAGGGGAGGGAATGGCCGGCAGGGATGTAGCTCAGTTGGTAGAGCATGGCATTTGCAACGCCAGGGTTGTGGGTTCGATTCCAGTATAAAAATAAATAAAAATGTATGCACTCACTAACTGTAAGTCGCTCTGGATAAGAGCGTCTGCTAAATGACTAAAATGTAAATGTAAAATGTAATTATGTGACTTGTTAAGCACATTTTTACTCCTGAACTTATTTATGCTTGCCAAAACAAAGGGGTTGAATACTTTTGACTCAAAACAATTTCGAAAAACATAGTTCCACTTTGACATTATGGGGTATTGTGTGTAGGCCAGTGACAAATAAAAATCTAAGTGTAATCAATTTTAAATTAAGGCTGTAACACAACAAAATGTGGAAGAAGTCAAGGGGTGTGAATACTTTCTCAAGGCACTGTAATTGTATGTCCTAATAATTTTCGGGGATGAAATTTGGAGACCCAAGCTATAGGCTTCTGTAGCGCCGAACCAACCGAGTTGATTTATGCGCTCTAGAATGTTTTAATTGCTTGCCTGGGGTTAAAAAATATATATAAACAATTTGTATCATGTTAAATATTAGCCACTATCAGGAGCCACCGTCAGTAATACCCACATACATTTATAACTGTCACTTTAGTGTTAGTTTCCTTCAATTTGTAGCCTACATTTTGCAACATTCCATTCTGTTAACCTTTCTTTCCTCTGTCACGTCCGTGTAGTTGCTTCCTGAGGGTCACTAGCAATATTGGATCATATTAGGCTAACGTTGTGTATTAATTTGGAACATGTAGCCTATTTGAATCATTATGGAACTCACGCCACAGGTAGCAGTTCAAACCTGGAGCCTGGTGCACGGTTCACGACGACTGGACCGTTGTTATTACAGTTCCATGATTAGTGAGGAATGGGGTAGATTTATAGGACAATTATTATTATAATATTACCCTATTGTACACTTTTCTCACCTTCCAGTATTTCATGGTTTGAACTTGAATATGGCAACTTTCATGATGAATCAAAGCACTGTATTTGTGATTCATCAATATATTTTATATCAGAGTATTTTCCATCTACCAATTGGTGCTGAAACAGAGATGAATATGCATATATTTAGATGTCTTTCTTTCATTGATCCCTAATATTTTGAACCCGTACTCTCCATATATTCTAATGAGTTTGTTGACAAAATTCAAATGAAAGGTACACTAAAGGTGCCCTAAAGCAAAAACCTGATGAAAAATGAATTCATATGAATGCTATAAGTACAGAAATTGTTCGCTCAGTGGGAAATTAATATCTAACTAGTTAGTGACAACTGTGTGGAGTTTGTGACAGCAACTGTGAGCTTATTACAGTATTATAGGTGCTATGTCCTGGGATTTCCTATGATCGTCTATGTAGAAGAACCCCTTATCTTCTAATGACTCTTGTGTAGCCTGTGAGCAGCATAGAGCTAAACATGTTACACGTGCGTGTTCATGTTCGTCTCAGCTTTTCATATATATATATATTTTAATAGTCTGTAGTCAAACCATTCTGACTCTACAGACGTTCTTTCAAAAAAGACCCGGCCCTGGGCCACTTCGGGATCCGCCATTGTCTCACAAACACAGCTCTAGCTCATCCCCCGTTAATCACACAGACTAATGGTTGGTACCAATGATTGCAGAATAAATAGACAAATCCAATGGTACCTTGCAGTCTGTAGCTCAAACACACAATGTTTAAAAGGGGATAGAAGTCCAAAATTATGCCAGCACAATGGTGGGACTCATTGGGTTAAAGGTGGCTTAAAGTCGATTTTGCACCATTTTAAATCTTATTCAAATCTGTTCATATACACCCTCGGGAAGAATATGTTGATTTTTTGGGGGGTTTGTTTGTTGTGATAAGCGAGCACATAGATGTGCAAATGTTCATGTTTTCATACAGTGAGGGAAAAAAGTATTTGATCCCCTGCTGATTTTGTACGTTTGCCCACTGACAAAGAAATTATCAGTCTATCATTTGAATGGTATGTTTATTTGAACAGTGAGAGACAGAATAACAACAAGAAAATCCAGAAAAATGCATGTCAAAAATGTTATAAATTGATTTGCATTTTAATGAGGGAAATAAGTATTTGACCCCTCTGCAAAACATGACTTAGTACTTGGTGGCAAAACCCTTGTTGGCAATCACAGAGGTCAGATGTTTCTTGTAGTTGGCCACCAGGTTTGCACACATCTCAGGAGGGATTTTGTCCCACTCCTCTTTGCAGATCTTCTCCAAGTCATTAAGGTTTCGAGGCTGATGTTTGTCAACTCAAACCTTCAGCTCCCTCCACATATTTTCTATGGCATTAAGGTCTGGAGACTGGCTAGGCCACTCCAGGACCTTAATGTGCTTCTTCTTGAGCCACTCCTTTGTTGCCTTGGCCGTGTGTTTTGGGTCATTGTCATGCTGGAATACCCATCCACGACCCATTTTCAATGCCCTGGCTGAGGGAAGGAGGTTCTCACCCAAGATTTGACGGTACATGGCCACGTCCATCGTCCCTTTGATGCGGTGAAGTTGTCCTGTCCCCTTAGCAGAAAAACACCCCCAAAGCATAATGTTTCCACCTCCATATTTGACGGTGGGGATGGTGTTCTTGGGGTCATAGGCAGCATTCCTCCTCCTCCAAACACGGCGAGTTGAGTTGATGCCAAAGAGCTCCATTTTGGTCTCATCTGACCACAACACTTTCACCCAGTTCTCCTCTGAATCATTCAGATGTTCATTGGCAAACTTCAGACGGCCCTGTATATGTGCTTTCTTGAGCAGGGGGACCTTGCGGGCGCTGCAGGATTTCAGTCCTTCACGGCGTAGTGTGTTACCAATTTTTTTTCTTGGTGACTATGGTCCCAGCTGCCTTGAGATCATTGACAAGATCCTCCCGTGTAGTTCTGGGCTGATTCCTCACCGTTCTCATGATCATTGCAACTCCACGAGGTGAGATCTTGCATGGAGCCCCAGGCCGAGGGAGATTGACAGTTATTTTGTGTTTCTTCCATTTGCGAATAATCGCACCAACTGTTGTCACCTTCTCACCAAGCTGCTTGGGGATGGTCTTGTAGCCCATTCCAGCCTTGTGTAGGTCTACAATCTTGTCCCTGACATCCTTGGAGAGCTCTTTGGTCTTGGCCATGGTGGAGAGTTTGGAATCTGATTGATTGATTGCTTCTGTGGACAGGTGTCTTTTATACAGGTAACAAGATGAGATTAGGAGCACTCCCTTTAAGAGTGTCCTCCTAATCTCAGCTCGTTACCTGTATAAAAGACACCTGGGAGCCAGAAATCTTTCTGATTGAGAGGGGGTCAAATACTTATTTCCCTCATTAAAATGCAAATCAATTTATAACATTTTTGACATGCGTTTTTCTTAATTTTTTTGTTGTAATTCTGTCTCTCACTGTTCAAATAAACCTACCATTAAAATTATAGACTTATCATTTCTTTGTCAGTGGGCAAACGTACAAAATCAGCAGGAGATCAAATACTTTTTTCCCTCACTGTACGTTCATAGAGTCAGGTATTTATTTATAGTAATATGAATGGGAAAGACGTGCATTTGAGCAATTAATAGACACTGCAGTAAATTAAAACAATACAAACTCAGTCTTGTCCAGATACACAGACTGCTGTGCCATAACCAATCACAGCTAGAGTAGGCCTATTATACAAATAGGCCATAGCATATGAGCATGTGCCATTCACTTTGATGTTGCACTGCACTGGACTGTGTTTACAGGTAGCAGAACAGCGCGACTTTGTTTGGATCATTGTTTAGAAAGCAGTAGCAAAAGTCACAAAATAAACCTGAATAGTTTTTTGCAAATATATAAATGACAGGAGTCTTACTTTTGGGAACTTTACAGTCCTATTGCTCAAACAACGAACAGATAGACTATTTCTCCCTCAGCCTTAGCCCATTCATAGACACTAACTACCTTTAGTGTCTATTCATGGAGGTATCTTCTGGCCGGGGGAGTTTTGTTAAGAGCCCCGACGCGCGTTCTGAACGTTAACACGCATTGCTTGCGGTACGGTTTTGGTGCATAAGGACCTTATCTTTCATATCAGCGAGAAATAATAATATTAAAATAAAAGGTTAAATTACATCACACTTTTATAGGATTAGGGTTATTGTATTTTTTATTTGAATGATTATTTCTTGCTGATATAAAAGATAAGTTCCATATGTTTCAAAAACCGTATAACAGGCGATGATTATTCAGGTTTCTAAATGTCAAAACAGAGCGTCCGGATTGTAGTTCCCCTGGTCCCACCGGTAAGCGGTGCTTATAGCTGAGAACCCTTTGGATAAGGCAGAATGCCTTGTTAATGCCTTGGGTTCTCGATAACTACCTCAGCCTGTGCAGAACAACAACAACAACGATGTTAGCCTGAGCCAGATGAGCTAAAATCTAGCACAGGGGACAGTATATAAACCCTCTCATACTTTTTCAGTATTTAGTTGACAGTCAAAATTGCACTGTGAATACAATGGGGGGGAAGTCTACCACTCACCCACTTGTCCAGGTGATAACATGACATTCTTCCAGCTGCTAGCTAGCTAGCTAGCTACAGTACTGGTCTCTGTAATTTAAGGTTCTAGATAGCTAAATGACTTAGCTATCAATTCATATAGCTAAATAGGCCTACATACAGTGAGGGAAATAAGTATTTGACCCCCTCTCAATCAGAAAGATTTCTGGCTCCCAGGTGTCTTTTATACAGGTAACGAGCTGAGATTAGGAGGACACTCTTAAAGGGAGTGCTCCTAATCTCAGCTTGTTACCTGTATAAAAGACACCTGTCCACAGAAGCAATCAATCAATCAGATTCCAAACTCTCCACCATGGCCAAGACCAAAGAGCTCTCCAAGGATGTCAGGGACAAGATTGTAGACCTACACAAGGCTGGAATGGGCTACAAGACCATCGGCAAGCAGCTTGGTAAGAAGGTGACAACAGTTGGTGCGATTATTCGCAAATGGAAGAAACACAAAATAACTGTCAATCTCCCTCGGCCTGGGGCTCCATGCAAGATCTCACCTCGTGGAGTTGCAATGATCATGAGAACGGTGAGGAATCAGCCCAGAACTACACGGGAGGATCTTGTCAATGATCACAAGGCAGCTGGGACCATAGTCACCAAGAAAACAATTGGTAACACACTACGCCATGAAGGACTGAAATCCTGCAGCGCCCGCAAGGTCCCCCTGCTCAAGAAAGCACATATACAGGGCCGTCTGAAGTTTGCCAATGAACATCTGAATGATTCAGAGGAGAACTGGGTGAAAGTGTTGTCAGATGAGACCAAAATCGAGCTCTTTGGCATCAACTCAACTCGCCGTGTTTGGAGGAGGAGGAATGCTGCCTATGACCCCAAGAACACCATCCCCACCGTCAAACATGGAGGTGGAAACATTATGCTTTGGGGGTGTTTTTCTGATAAGGGGACAGGACAACTTCACCGCATCAAAGGGACGATGGACGGGGCCATGTACCGTCAAATCTTGGGTGAGAACCTCCTTCCCTCAGCCAGGGCATTGAAAATGGGTCGTGGATGGGTATTCCAGCATGACAATTATCCAAAACACACGGCCAAGGCAACAAAGGAGTGGCTCAAGAAGAAGCACATTAAGGTCCTGGAGTGGCCTAGCCAGTCTCCAGACCTTAATGCCATAGAAAATCTGTGGAGGGAGCTGAAGGTTTGAGTTGACAAACATCAGCCTCGAAACCTTAATGACTTGGAGAAGATCTGCAAAGAGGAGTGGGACAAAATCCCTCCTGAGATGTGTGCAAACCTGGTGGCCAACTACAAGAAACATCTGACCTCTGTGATTGCCAACAAGGGTTTTGCCACCAAGTACTAAGTCATGTTTTGCAGAGGGGTCAAATACTTATTTCCCTCATTAAAATGCAAATCAATTCATAACATTTTTTACATGCATTTTTCTGGATGTTTTTGTTGTTATTCTGTCTCTCACTGTTCAAATAAACCTACCATTAAAATTATAGACTGATCATGTCTTTGTCAGTGGGCAAACTTACAAAATCAGCAGGGGATCAAATACTTTTTTCCCTCACTGTAAATAGATAAACTATAGCCTTAGCCACGTACTGCATAGCTAGATTGATTGTGTTGAGATTCCCAATCACCGCCCTTTTCGTCCTTTTTCCCCCCAAAATATTGGTTGAGTGAATCTGAAACAGTTCATCCCCTGAATTGCTGGAGGCAACAAACAATGTACTAACTGTGATTTACAACCTGATAGCAATATTTATTAGACTACCTAGTGATTTATTGGTGAATTTTATTAATCATGCATTGACTGCATCCTTTTAATTCTGCAAACAATGCCTTACTCTACGTAATGGAATCTTGAGTCTAATATACCCTATTAAAACAAAAATAAATCTTATAAAGTTGGGTTTCAAACATAAAATGCTAATATTTTAATATCTGTTTGTTTCATTTCTGCAAAGTAGTAAAAACAGTGTCAGTTCCACTTTAAGATACATTTACTGACAACCCGATTGAATGAAAAATCAACAAGAAAATCTGTTGGCCAGCAATTGGGAGGGTTTTCAGCAGTTGAATTCAACGTTTTCATATAATACAAGATAGCCACATCTGTAGAGCGTGTTACTCGCCTGCATAAGGTAAGTCTGAATACCAACTACTGAGAACTGCGTCGGAAAGGCGTGCGTAGGAAAGGCATATATTTCCTAAGTCTGAATCGGCCCATGGTGAATTTGGGCTGTTCATTTATGTATTTTTTACCCAATGTTTTTTTTGTTACCTGTTGTGGTTTATTTCTGCAGAAAGAGCAACTGACTCAGGTCCGCAAGCAGATCTCCCGGGAGGAGCATGAAAAGAGACATCTGGGGAACTACAGGTAAGGGGGGAAGAGGCACCGAGCGAGGAAGGCTCCTCTTACATTTACGGGGTCACATGCGGAGCACCGGGATCTCAGGAGGATAAATAACATTGAGAGAGAAAATAAATAGAACGTTTGAGTGGGGAGAAAGTGAGAAAGAGAGAGAGTGAGGGGGTGCGGAGGCTTGAGTTGTGACTCTTGTGCGTGAGTGGTACCAAGGAGTTATTGAGAGAAAGAAAGAGAGAGAGTGAGTTGGGGAGGTTCGAGTCGTGAATCCCGTGCGTTCACAAAGGCGGCGGCACAGCCACGTAATGCGAAAAGAATAGGCAAATGAGTAAGCGTCTGATCTCTCTCTCCTCCTCCTCCTCTTCCTCCTCTCTCTGATAAAGACTTCAGAAGACGTACGTAGGCCCGTCAATTCTTTATAGTAACGTTGACGTGTCTGAGTCAGAACTTGTTTTTCGTTCATTGTTAATACTCTCTTTATCCCTCTCCTTTCTCTTTCTGTCTCTCTTTCTCTCTCTCTCCCACCACATCTCGCTCTCTCTCCTTTTTGCATAAGTGACCTCTTCCCTGAACACTCAATGAGCGGATAGTCTAATGGCGACAAGCGTCTGTGAATTATTGTCGGTAGCTAACCCTGCCAGACACACCAGTCTGGAACCCGAGCTAATAGAGCCTGACTGTGTCCCAAGTGGCACCCTATTCCCTTTATAGTGCACCACTTTTGACAAGGGCCCATAGGGCCATAGCGCACTATATAGGGAATACAGTGCCATTTGGGAAGCAGCCCCTGTGATTCATACACGGCATCGGGATCTGATTTAGGCTTGCTCGTTAGCGGAGTCTCTTAACGAACTTAGCCCGTCATTAGATGAAATGCGCTTCAGGTACGGAAGTCAGACGAGAGACCGGCTTAAAAGGGAGCTCAGGTCCAGTGCCTGTCACTGCGTCTCGTTTATCAAACTTCTCAGAAATGTGTGTGTGTGCATGCCTGTGTGCGTGCATGTCTGTGCGTGTTTATGTGTGAATGTGTCTGTGTATTAAACAGCGTAGGGGATTTAATAAAAGGCTTGGGAGGGACGAGTCAAGACGTAATACGAAACTCATTGAAATAGGTCAAGTTTTTAGCTGATGTAATTGCGACTTCTTACACGATCCCCAACTAATCAAATCAAGGGCCAAAATATGCAGAAACATTCTGAACATGAACAACTCCTTCAGAAGAAATGTTGTTCAAATCGCAGATTAAGCTGCCATATGTTTAAAAGCGGGGGCCAAGATATGAGCGACGGTGAACACACAGGCTGCGTCCCAAATGATACCCTATTCCCTATATAGTGTACTACTTTTGACTAGAGCCCTATAGGGCCATCGCTAAACTTTGCCTCTCGAGTTGAGCCATCACTCACATGTGTAGCTCTTAAAGGATTGACAGCTTTATCCCCCCACGATCTCAACATTTACATTGGTTTTCCCCTTGATTATGGTGGTGAGGGGGCCTATCCAACCCCAAAGCGGGCTGTTTGCACTTCCAAATGACTGGCTATACAGATGTTTGATCACCCTGTTGCAGGATAACTTTCCTGCAATGCAGGTAATGCCAAACTTCTTTGAGGTTTAAAAAGGCTTCTGAAGTTTGTAATTTCCACTTTGAAATGTCAGACTTGATTTCCCCTTGCGAAAAATGCATAAATCCTAACAAAACGTCCCATTAATTATAAAGTCACATTTCCTATTGCTGTAGGATTATTATCCCTGCTGCAGCAAACTGGCTAAAATGTCAAATCCTACATCTGTACATACATTTAAGCCATTCTCCACCATCAATTCAACTATCCATCTATTAGCACTGAGCCCACTGGACAAAAACTGGTTGAATCAACGTTGTTTCCACATCATTTCAACCCAAAAAGTAAATGTGATGACGTTGAATCAACATGGAAAACTGATTGGATTTGAAAAAAGTGATCAACGTATGAGAATTTAGTCTTCTTTTCACCCAACCTTTAACTTAAATTCAATATGTCATTCGATTTAAGTGACATTTTTTGTTGATTTTACGTTGAATTCACATTAGTTGACAACTCAACCAAATGTAAATCAATTATATACGTTGAACTGACGTCTGTGCCCAGTGGGAGGGAACTTAAACGTTCATAAAAAAAACACGTAAATAGAAAAAGGTACTGGTTGACTTTCCTCGCCGGTTACTGTTTATTTAAATTAATGTTCCGTCATTGTTTTCGTTCCCTCTCTCTGCTCCCACAGACGTATTTACCCCCCAGATGACAAGCTGCTCCTGGAGAAGTATGAAAGCCTCCTCTCGGCTGCCTTTCAGACCTTCCTCGCCGGCCGAGCGGCCTCACTTCAAAAGGAAATGAATAATCCTCTGAAACGAATGAAGGCATGTACCTGAGACTCAACAGCACACACACACACACACACACACACACACACACTCTTTCCTCTCTTTACCGCTCTCTCTTTTTCACTCTCCCTCTCTTGCGCTCTCTCCCTCTTTCTCTCTTTCTCTCTCTCTCTCTGTCTTTCTCTCTCTCTCTTTCTCTCTCTCTCTCTCTCTCTCTCTCTATCTCGCTCCTATCCTCTATATAGATTCTCTCCTCTGCAAGAAAAATAAGAGAGAAAAATACATACAAAGAGAGAGAGAGAGTGTGTGTGTGTGTTTTCGTGTGTTTGCGTGCGTGTGTGTTGCCCTCTCCTCGAGCCGTGTTTGTCACCTTGTCCTTGAAAAGCATCCATTGAGCGCTGAACATTACATTTGTTAAAAGCAGGACGAACCCGTACAACCTCCATCTTTGTTTCCAGTTGCTTTGTCTGGCTCTGGCCTTTCCCCTTCTCCTCAGTCTAGGCGTTCACTGTTATTCCTTAGCTCTTCTCTGTGAATTGTCACAGTGTTAATTTGAAGAGGTTTTCTCAAGGATCTCAATGTATTTGAAGGTGCTTGCGATGGTAAAAAATGTTATGGAATGCAGTGGAAGCAGCTGTGTTGCTGTGGTTTGTGGTGCGAGGGTACGTTCATAGGGAAAAGCATTGTTAATAGGGAAATCGCAGGGATGCTCTGGCATTGGGGGAGAGACGGCCTGCATTCCAAATGGCACCCTATTGCCAATAGTACACTACGTTTGACAAGGGCCCATAGAGCTCTGGTCAAAAGTAGTGCTTTATGCAGGGAATAGGGTGCCATTTGGGATGCACACTGCCTTTCTGAGGAGTTTTATTCATGATGAATTTCAGATGGAGTGGTGGTGTTTGGTTTCTATAGAAAGGGATAAAGAAAGAGAGAAAGGGAGAGAGAGCGAGGGGAAAGACGTGGAGTATGAGACAGACGAGAGAAAGAGGTAAGGTATGTTTGGTAACTTGGGGGGTTTGGACTGTGAGGAAGAGAGGGATTTAGCAAAAGAGGAGAAAGTGTGTTTGAGAGTAGGAGAAGGGAGGGTGAGACAGATAGACAAACAGAGAGTTAGCAATAGCCTAGAATGGACCGAGCGAGAGAGATGGAAGGAGAGAGAAAGAGAAAGGGAGGGAGGGAAGGAGGAAGAGAGCACGGCAGAGGGATTTGGAGGGATCTGCCATATGTACATGTGGCTTTGAGTCTATATGAGCTAACCTCCTGCAGAGAGAGAGGCTGGCTGCGCTGGTTGGTTGGTTCATGATCAGGGACTTAACCAAATGCCAACACAGCTTTGGCCTTATGACCCTGGCACACAAATACATGCGTGTACACACACACACACACCCACACACAAGCAGACACACATACTTTTGTCCCCCCATTTGACATTTGAGCAGCCTAAAGCTACTTGATTGCTAATCTGAGAGACCACAGTCACATTTAATCTGTATTTGAGAGACAATGGGAGGGTGCCATGCGTGACAACAAAGCAACATTAATCACCCTCTCTCCAATTCAGCCGCGGCCAAAAAGGAAAAGGGGCCCAGCGTATTGGCCACGGGTACGATAACGTTTCCAGATTGATCATGGGTGCGTTCCAGATGGCACCCTATTCCCTACATAGTGCACTATTTTAGGGTATAGGGTGCCATTTGGGATGCAGCCCCATACATAAATAAAGAGTCAACCCAAAGAGCAACACATGTTCTGCCAGGTCTTTCATGGTCTAGCTATGCTATGGTACTGACGCACTATGGAAGTGGAACACCTGAGTTTTCATGTCTGCTTGCAGGTCGGGAGTAGCAACAGAATCTTACAACCCTTATTAGTGGTGGTTGATTGATTGATTGATTGATTGATTGATTGATTGAATGTGTAATTGATTGAATTCATAATTTGGCATTTGGTTTACGATACCGTGTTTTACAGTACCATACTGTACTGCACTCTTCCTCTTTCTCACAAAGGCTGGTATTCTGACTTGAGATCTGCATGCATACTCAAACTTCTGGTTAAGTCTCCCATTCACATTAATGGATGATTTACATCTCCATTGAGTCCTTTTATTAATGGATTCATGAGGTTTATCAAATACTAACCTACTGTATTCTGTGTGTTTGCAGGAGGAGGACATCTTGGACCTGCTGGAGCAGTGTGAGCTGGACGACGAGAAGCTTCTGGGGAAATCCTCACGGCAGAGAGGACCCAAGGTGAGATAGAGAGGGAGGGAAGGAGGCAGGGAGGGAGGGAGGGATGGAGAAGAAGAAAGGGAGGAAGGTGAAGAGAGGGAGATATGGAGGGAGTAAGGGATAGGTGGAGGGAGGGAGAGAGAGGGGGCAGATGCCCTAAGGGAACACACAGAAAGAGAGAAGGAGAAAGTCTGAGAGAAAGGGAAGAAGGAAAAAAAGGGAGAGAGCGAGAGGGAGATGTATAGAAGGGCATATGCCTTAAGGCAGGCATTCCCAACCTTTTTACCCCTGGTCCCCCTTTTTCACATTTGAAAAATTTCATCCCCCCTCTTAAAAAAAAAAAAAAGATTGTTTATTGAGATAGCTTATATTAAATACACCACTAGCTTGATTTTGTTTTGAGGGACCTAGGAAAATGTTGTTTTGAAGCTTATTTCCTGCAATTATACGTCCTGCAACTCATGACATCTTTTAGGTAGGCTATTTAATAATAATAATTATGAGGAAAATAAAGTCTAGACCCGATTTCTCCAAATGTTATTCTGCTACCAAATATGTTTTTATATGATCATTTATATGAAACCTCAATTTAATTATACATACTATTTTACAGAAAGTGAATAGGTAGATCAATTGATAGCGACAGAGTCATACATTGTATAAGATTACTTCCCAAGCAAAGTCCATTTTCTTTTACTCTTCGACTTCAGAAGGCTGTAGCTCAGCTTCTGAATGTCATAGAGACAAACCAAAGATATTCCCATGTGCATCAGAGTCATGTCTTCCCATGGCATTTTACCTCTTGCTTCCAGCCTCGCAGATTTTTACATTGTTTTAGATCGGTATAAACAATCACATTGTAATATATATTTTTTTCTATCAAGGAAGGCCCCCCCCCACAAAACGTTGGCGCCCCCTAGGTATCCTAAGGTATCAGAGAGAGAGAGAAAGTGATCAAGAGAAAGCAAGTAATGGAGAGCGAGAGTCAAAGCGAGAAAGAGAGCGAGAAACGCCCTGGTACAACCAATCCCCTAAGGGAAGGCCTGTCAGCTCTCCCTCTCCCTCACTTCCCCTCTCCCTCTCTCTCTCTCTCAGTCCGTTACCCCACATGCCTCAATCCCCCCAATCCCCCATGACAGCACATTACTCTCCCCATCGCCTTTCCCCTCTCTCCCTTTCTCTCCACAACCCCACATCTAAACCCATCCCTCACTCCTCCGCTGAAGTAGGGGAAATGCACGACGGGCTGCATCCCAAATGGCACCCTCCTCTCTACATAGTGCACTATTTTTTTTAACCAAAAATACTATATAGGGAAAAGGGTGCCATTTGGGACGCAGTCACCAAGTGTGCGCAGCAACTCAATGGGACAGTTTTCTGCTGTATTAGGGCCCTTTCCGCGAGGATAACGACTCATTCAGACACAATTGCTTTTGTCGAAATTAATTTGTGCCTGTCACTTTGGACCATGCCAAGTGCGGGCTGACGTGGACTGACTGGCCTGCTGGCCCTCCGCTGAGTGCTCTGATGGATCGACACACTCCCAGGGGCTGTATTACGGGCCATCTGGAAAAAGAGGGTGAGAAGGAGAGAGGGGTTGAAATGAAGCAATTTAAATACTATGGATTCATACTTAAGCAGCGTTGCTTTGAGTTGCCACTGAGTAGAAAGGGTTGATAGAGGGAGAGAGAGAGAAGGTGATAGAGAGAGATGGTTTTCCTTTCTCCCCTTTCTCTTTTTGTCTCTCCCTTTCTCTCTTTCTTCCCCCTCTCTCTCACTCTCGCCCCTTTGTTCCCCCCTTTTTCCTCTCCTCTCCTGTCTCTCCTCTGGTGATTGTATATAAGCTCATGCCTAGGATCACAGTCTGCACATACGTTTTGTACGCGAGAAACGCTTGCTAAATTAGTTGATGAATAACAGATGTGAATGCTTTATTAATGCTAACAATGTGTTCCTTCCACGGTGTGAAATAGACATTCAATTTAATTAACTTTTTTTGTGTCTGGTGGTGAGGGGGGAAATGATAAATTCATTGTACAAAGGCCAAGAAGGAGGATTTGAGTGGCCGCTTGGATTGAATTAATATGTCTCTCTCCACCGTCGCTTTAATCACAGCTACAGAGACAACACACACACGGCTCATTGGGTGTGTAGACATTAATGGGATGTGGATCACGCGCACATGTGCGTGCGCAGATGCACATACAGATGTAGGATCTTAATTTGATCACTCTTTTGTTGCTGAGAATTTTCCTGCACAGCAGCAAATGCAAAATTGTAGTGTATTCATGGTTTATGAATGAAGGCCTATTAAGTTTATAATTTCCACTCTTGATTTGCCCTAACAAAAAATGTATCAACCCCTACAAAAAATGTCCATTAATTATAATCCACATAATAATTCACATTTTCTGTTGCTGCAGGATTATTTTCCTGCTGTAGCAAACTTGCTAAAATTAAGGTCGTACATCAGTACACACAGACAGACACACACCGCATACACTCAGATACACACATAGTCATACACTGACACACATACACCGATGCACACATAGTTGTAGACACATGAACACTCACACTGACACACACACGTACGGGCCCGTGGTGTCACCTCTGCTTCTCACAGTGACGGACGGTAATTGGCTAGGGTTGAAGGGTGTGTCTGTGGGTGCTGACATAATCTTCCCTCTCTCTCTCTCACTCTCACTCTCTCTCTCTCTCTCTCTCTCTCTCTCTCTCTTTCTCTCTCTCTCTCTCTCTCTCTTTCTCTCTCTCTCTCTCTCTCTCTCTCTCTCTCTCTATCTCTATCTCTCGATCTCTCTCTCTCTGTGTGTGCGTGTCTCTCTCTCTCTGTCTGTGTTTCTCTCTGTCTGTGGGTGTGTGTCTCTCCGTGTGTGTGTGTGTGTCAGCCCCTGTCCTCCATGCCTGAGAGCGCCCAGACGCCGTGCGGCAGGAGACAAAGGGAGTACGGAGGCGATGGAGGAGACGCCAGCGGCAGCAGTGTCAACAACAGCAGCTCCGAGGAGGGCCCTGAAGAGGAGGATGACAGGGAGGATGAGAGGGAAGGAGGGAAGACAAGGGAGAAGAAGAGTGTCTCTTACGACCTGGGAGAGAACAAGTATAAGTCGTCGACGGAGCGCTCAGGTGAGGAGGAGAGGAGGAGAGCACCCCATACACATGCACCGAAACACACAAATGCACAGGCGAACACGCATAGAGACAGACACACACACAGAAACGCACACACACATACACACATTCCTTCCCCCCTTCACACACACACACCCTCGTAAAATGGAGGAGGGGGTCTGGGAATGTCTTTATTAGCAATCAGAGGCCTCTTCTATAATAAGGACATTTCCAGGACATTCTCTCCATTTCCTCCTTTCTTGGGCTGCATCCCAAATGGCACCATATTCTTTACATAGGGCACTACTTTTCACCAGAGCCCTATGGGCCCTGGTCAAAAGTAGTGCACTAAGCTATATAGGGAATAGGATGCCATTTGGGATGCAGTCCTGGTATATTGGGGAGAAGGCTGTTATATGAGAGGGCTCTCTGGCCCTGATGCCTTCCAGATGACTACAAGGGTCCAATAATTACTAAAACAAACTTGTGTCACATACACACGTGTGTGTGCGTACACGCATGCAGACACACACTTAGGCTGTCCTATACACGCAGGCAGGCAGGTTGGTAAGTAGGTAGGTGCCCACGCACGTACACGCACACAAGCACGCACCTTTTCTCTCTAATACACGTGTGCACATACACATAGGCATTAGACACACGATTGCTCTATATTACACTCACACACACATACTCTCTTTCTCTTCTCTCTCTCTCTCTCTCTCTCTCTCTCTCTCTCTCTCTCTCTCTCTCTCTCTCTCTCTCTCTCTCTCTCTCCAGCGTGCCAAGTTCCTAGATATAATGCAGTGTTGGGTGTGGTGGTGTTGGTCGGCCAGGTCCGGGTCTAGCTAAATTACTGATGTAAAGCTGTACAATCCATTTGTTTACCTAATTAATACATGAAACAGGCTAAATCCATCTTTTTTAATTAGGGTCATCGCCTGATGATGGTTCCATGGGAAGGCTTTTTATTCTACTAGTCGTCGTCGTGTGTGTGTGTTTGTTTTTGTGTTTGTGTGTGTGTGGTGAGTCTGGATATGAAACCGTATGTGTGTGTGTTTGGATATGAAACCGAGTGTGTGTATGTGTGTGTGCGTGTGTCTGGATATGAAACTGTGTGTGTGTGTGGCGTGTGATAGAGAGAGAGCGATAGAGAGGCTTGTGGCTTACCTTGAAAACTCTTTCAGCAAATTGGCCTGAAATGTGCTCTTCGGGAAACTAGAGGGAAAGATTGATAAGTTGGACATTCCTACAGGTTTATAAGGTAATTTGTCTTTTCCACCAAGTTTCAAAGTCCCAGTCCCAGTCCAGGTGGAAAAAACACACACAAATATATTTGTGTGTTGCATTGTGAAATATTGGGTGTTTTTCTGCTCTAGCATTAGATTTTCCATTAGGGCTATATCCCAAATGGCACCCTATTCCCTATATAGTGCACTACTTTTGACCAGAGTCCAATGGGCCCTGGTCAACAGTAGAGCACTACATAGGAAATAGGTGGCCATTTTGGATGCAGCCTAGATCCAGAATGAAGGACAAAGAAGTGATTTGGCTGGATTTGAGGAGCTGCTCTTCGCTGGAGTGACTTTGCCTCCGCCGACCGACTCCATAAGCGCCCATCTGGGGGCAGCCTCAGCTAAGCCCTATAATGTGGCCGATTTGGCAAGTTCCGTCCTCAAGGTTCGCCGGTGGAGCAGCAACACACACACACACACACACACACACCCTGTCTCATGTCCAGACAGACACACATATACGAGCAGACGCACACATATGCACACAAACTTTCATCTCCAGGCTTACACACACACACACTGGGCTGGCTGGACGTGCTGCTGGAGGTGGTTCAAGCTCCGTGGTCCTGGGGAGGTTCTGTGGCTGTGACTGGGCTGGAAGGGCCCGCTGCCCTGCTCTCTAATCCGGCCTGAAGAGGGAAGAGAACAGCCGGGCCACAGCCACAGAAACACATGCTGTAGTGATTAATGAAAGCCACATTCAATAGGCCACCACGTCAGGCCCCAGAATGGGACTTTTAATGCCACACTTCATTTCCAACGATGGAATGAAAGTGGACAGTATGAAAAGCAGAGCATGAGAAGACAGATGAGAGGGGGAGAAAAAGAGAGGGAGAGAGAGTTCCCCCCTCTTTGGACTAAGTTATTTAGGTCACCACTTTATTCCTTCATTTCATGTCATCTTTTTTTCTTCTCCTTTTCTTCATCCCTCTCTCTCTCAGGACGGGTGCACTGGAAACCTCTGATGAAGCCAGGCAAGGCAGGCCCCTCTGCCTCCTCCTCTCCGACCCTCTCTGGGCCAATCAGACGCTCCATCTCCTGCCCGCGTTCTATCTCCTCCCTGGCCGGCCAGTTACCCACCAATGAGACGCGAGCCTCACTGGCCAGGCCCTCCGTTCCGGCGGCGACGGTCCTCGTTAGGCCAAGCTCCGCTTCTCTGCGCTCTCATTCGCTCAGCCGCAGCGGCTCCGCCCACAGGGTGCCACACAGCAGTAGTCTAGGTACCATCCACGCTAACATGGTGAGTTACAAACACACACACGCACTTATCATTACACTTTCTACATTCACACTACAATCACATTATCTCTGTCACCCTCTCTTTCTCCCCCTCCCTTGGGAGCGTACAGTAGGCTATCATTACCATACCATATAGTGCCTGACGAAACCTTTAAAGTTGCTAAAACTATCTCTACATTCTGTGGATGGCCCTTCTTTGGATGAGGCCCTGTGCTGTGTGGCGCTAAGCCTGTAAAGATAGCTGTCCCCCTAACCTACTGTAGCTCTGTGGCTGGCCTCTCTTGACACACACACACATTATGCCCATTCTCTCTATATGGCCAGGCTCAGTTGGTTCCTGGAGGCCTCAGCGATATGGAATCTCTGATGAGTGCTCTCCAATTACCATGGCCACACTGTCTTCTCTCTCTCGATCTCTCTCTGTCTTTCTTTACCTCTTTCTTTTTCCCTCTCTCTCTTCTCTCTCTCTCTCTCTCTCTCTACCCCATCTCTCTCTCTTTCTCTCGCAGCAAGCTGAAGATCTCAGCTGAAACCCATGATGAAAAGCATTTAAACCCCATTCATGTTCTTTTCTCTCCTTTCTTTCCTTTGTGTGTTTGACTCTTGTGTGTGTGTGTGTGTGTGTTTGACCTATATGTGTGTCTGTCGGGCCTGTATTTATTTGTTTTGTTTATTTGTTTGGCTTATGTGTGTGTTTTGAACATGTGTGTGTGTTTGTATGTGCAGGGCGATCCCGTGCTGATCCTGAGGAGTAAAGACCAGGAGACAGAGCTGACGAGACAGAGCCTGGCCGCTCTCAGCGCCATGAGGATCCGCTTCCCGGGGAAGACTGAGGAGATGGCCGAGGCCGTTCTGGATGAGGTGTGTGTGTGTGTGAAAGTATATACAGCGTATTTCCAAAGAGATACAATGGCCAGAGCCAACCATACAGTATGGGACTATTCCTGACCTCCCAGCCCCTCCACAATGGCCTCCTGACTGCCTATTGTCTTTGAAAACTCCCTCATGGCCAAAACGTGGGCAGCAGAAAGCCTCACTGTATTCCCCTCCGCTCCTGTGTATTTATCAATGCCTCTTTCCCCCTGGACGGTTCGCCTCTCCTACATTGGTGTCGAGGTCGTGTGACACAATTACAGTTCCACCTGTCCCGCTAATAAACTCTTAATAGGGGCGCAGATGAGCAGCCGCACCTGGCTGACTGGTTACCTCACTCGGGAGATGACAATGTAAAAATAGTGAGCCACCGTGGTTAACTGTGACTGTGAACTTAAAGCTGCAATATGTAACTTTTTGGGCGACCTGACCAAATTCACATAGAAATGTGAGTTATACAGTGGGGAAAAAAAGTATTTAGTCAGCCACCAATTGTGCAAGTTCTCCCACTTAAAAAGATGAGAGAGGCCTGTAATTTTCATCATAGGTACACGTCAACTATGACAGACAAAATGAGAAAAAAAATCCAGAAAATCACATTGTAGGATTATTAATGAATTTATTTGCAAATTATGGTGGAAAATAAGTATTTGGTCAATAACAAAAGTTTCTCAATACTTTTTTATATACCCTTTGTTGGCAATGACACAGGTCAAACGTTTTCTGTAAGTCTTCACAAGGTTTTCACACACTGTTGCTGGTATTTTGGCCCATTCCTCCATGCAGATCTCCTCTAGAGCAGTGATGTTTTGGGGCTGTCGCTGGGCAACACAGACTTTCAACTCCCTCCAAAGATTTTCTATGGGGTTGAAATCTGGAGACTGGCTAGGCCACTCCAGGACCTTGAAATGCTTCTTACGAAGCCACTCCTTCGTTGCCCGGGCAGTGTGTTTAGGATCATTGTCATGCTGAAAGACCCAGCCACGTTTCATCTTCAATGCCCTTGCTGATGGAAGGAGGTTTTCACTCAAAATCTCACGATACATGGCCCCATTCATTCTTTCCTTTACACGGATCAGTCGTCCTGGTCCCTTTGCAGAAAAACAGCCCCAAAGCATGATGTTTCCACCCCCATGCTTCACAGTAGGTATGGTGTTCTTTGGATGCAACTCAGCATTCTTTGTCCTCCAAACACGACGAGTTGAGTTTTTACCAAAAAGTTCTATTTTGGTTTCATCTGACCATATGACATTCTCCTAATCCTCTTCTGGATCATCCAAATGCACTCTAGCAAACTTCAGACGGGCCTGGACATGTACTGGCTTAAGCAGGGGGACACGTCTGGCACTGCAGGATTTGAGTCCCTGGCGGCATAGTGTGTTACTGATGGTAGGCTTTGTTACTTTGGTCCCAGCTCTCTGCAGGTCATTCACTAGGTCCCCCCGTGTGGTTCTGGGATTTTTGCTCACCGTTCTTGTGATCATTTTGACCCCACGGGGTGAGATCTTGCGTGGAGCCCCAGATCGAGGGAGATTATCAGTGGTCTTGTATGTCTTCCATTTCCTAATAATTGCTCCCACAGTTGATTTCTTCAAACCAAGCTGCTTACCTATTGCAGATTCAGTCTTCCCAGCCTGGTGCAGGTCTACAATTTTGTTTCTGGTGTCCTTTGACAGCTCTTTGGTCTTGGCCATAGTGGAGTTTGGAGTGTGACTGTTTGAGGTTGTGGACAGGTGTCTTTTATACTGATAACAAGTTCAAACAGGTGCCATTAATACAGGTAACGAGTGGAGGACAGAGGAGCCTCTTAAAGAAGAAGTTACAGGTCTGTGAGAGCCAGAAATCTTGCTTGTTTGTAGGTGACCAAATACTTATTTTCCACCATAATTTGCAAATAAATTCATTAAAAATCTTACAATGTGATTTTCTGGAGAAAAAAAATCTCAATTTGACTGTCATAGTTGACGTGTACCTATGATGAAAATTACAGGCCTCTCTCATCTTTTTAAGTGGGAGAACTTGCACAATTGGTGGCTGACTAAATACTTTTTTCCCCCACTGTAGATCTGTCATTCGCGTTGAAAGCAAGTCTAAGAAGCCGTAGAGCTGTTCTATGTGCGCTGTTTCTATGCTTTCCATGCTTAAGTTTAGTTTTTGTGTCTTTTACTTTCGATTTTGTACACCAGCTTCAAACAGCTGAAATACAATATTTTTGGTTATTGAAAATATATTTCACAGCGGTTTAGATGGTACAATGATTGTCTACACTTGCTTGTTTTGTCACATAAAATAAAATTAGGCAAACTATTAGAATTTTAGCAACTAGGAAATATTATATTGCACCTTAAAAATGTTTTATATTCATAGTTAACTATGGTGGCTTGCTATTGTTATATTCAAAACATTGCTCCTACCTACTGAGCCACACAGTTGCTATTTTTACTTTAAATGTGGTTTCAAGTTGCGAAAATGACTAATTGAGGTGATTTTGTGATTGATGTTATTTTCAAAGTAAATTTGATATCTGTTAGAAATCGTGAGCCAAGTATTATTCAGAACCACAGCAATCATGTGGAATCGTTGTATCCCAAATGGCACAGTTGTATCCCAAATGGCACACTATTCCCTTTACCACTGCATTTCAAACATAGCGATTGGTAAAATAGCAAGGTTAGCATCGTAATAGAGAATCAATATTATTATTATGTTAATGTAAATTAGGTGTCCGATTTCATATAGGTTCAGCTCAGTTTCAGTTTAACACTTTCCACTCACAGCACCTGTCATCCCGTCTACAGGTTGAAAATGGCAGATTTGATCATTAATAAGCGCCTAAATTGGAACACAGTGGCTGTACTGTAACATGCTATACATGACATCAGAGCTCAGGTTCTCTGCTTCACAGCGCTGTATGGGTTTTGACTGACAGCCGTTATAAACCTGAGCACCACGCACGACAAGAAGATGCCCCATCCCTCCCGCTAATTGAGCTACTTTTGATCGATGTGTTCTGAAAGATAAAACGTTGAGGATTATATTATAAAAAATACCGCTTTGATGTCATACAAGAAAACCACACACCCATGAGTCCAAATGTGCAGTTCACATTTCCATAATTGAAAATTCATTTACAGTATCAACATTTATGATCGCTATGGTTGATCCAGAGTTAGAAGGATGACATGCATTATACACTGGGTTGTCCTGAACAGAATGAGCCTATGTTTGTCATATTGTGAAGAAAAGTTGCGCCGGAACATGCACTTGATTGCACTCATGACTCCATGCTACACTCATAGAAAAAAAGGTGCTATCTAGAACCTAAAAGGGTTCTTCGGCTCTCCCCATAGGAGAACCCTTTGAGGAGTCCTTTTTGGTTCTAGGTAGAACCCTCTTGGTTCCACGAAGAACCTGGAATCTGGGTCAGGTGGGCATAAATTGAAAGCTTATTCTATTGCCAACATGTGTGCATACAATCTTAGAAAAAAGGGTTGCAAAAGGGTTCTTCGGCTGTCCCCATAGGATAACCCTTTTGGGTTCCAAGTAGAAACCTCTGTGGAAAGGGTTTTACATGGAACCCAAAATGGTTCTTCCTGTAAGTTACAATCTGTTTGTTTGAAGTGCCTTTTGAAAGCCTGACACTGTAAGATCATATTAGCTAGCCATTTTTGGATTGCGGAAACAAGAACAGTAAGTGTGTGATGGTGGGGACGCAGGGCTGTGTTCCAAACAAAACACTATAAGTCTACTTGCTTCAGTTCCTCAATGGGAAAGCTAGGAGGGCTCAAAAGAACACCTTATAGTTGAAGGCTCTTTCCTTGAGTTATAAGTGCATTGAAATTACTTAGGAACTCTGCACAGTTTGGAGAGGGGTGTGGCCAATTTGAGACACCAGTTAGACCTCTCACTCAAACCCTTGTAATAGTTTTTTCTTATCTTGCACCTATTCCAACATTTCAATGAATATTATTATAATGTTACTGAATGTATGGAGAGTATTGTCAGATTTCGTTATTGACAAATGCTGTGAAAATGCACATCAAATCAACAGTGTAATGTTTGGATTCAGGTGAACTGTTGTATCCTCATCTTTGGTCTGATAATTTCCCCATAATAAAGTTTTCTCTTTCATTTGCTATCATGGTCATGCATATGTTTTTTATAGTTCTTCTGTTAGAAAAATTTAAATTTGGCCCTATCCATATAGGCCAATTTCGACGAATGTAAGGCCTTTCTTCTTTGGACACATTCACACCATAAAAGAAGAAAATAAAAAAATACAGGTCAATTATACCCGTGCTAACACCAGACTCCACAGATTGACAGACGGCCATAAACTGTGAAAAGGTGCGGTGGTCTGAGGCGGCCGGGTCTATAGAATATAGTTTTGGGTTGTGTGTCTTGGATGAAAAGGCCTATTCGGTTGCAGCTGGCCTTGTCCGCGGTTCCCGGCGTCTCTACCGCAAGACATTGATTTAGTCTCCAAGGCACAACGCAAATGTTAGACCCTGAACTGTTTGAATACCGGAGTAACAATACCCCGCCGGTTCCATGAGCTGATTGCTGAAAATGAGGGATGAGATGGAGAGAGAGAGGGGGAGAATAGAAAGAGAAGAGAATTTGTTTTTTGCTTCTATGAGCTGATTGCTGAGAACGGGGGATGAGCAAGAGAGAGAAAGCTAGAGAAAGAGAGAAAAACACACACATAGGAAAAGGAGATCATTTTAGTTTTTGTCTCCTTTCTTTGCAAAATGCTGCGGGGGGTTTAAGTTTTTGTTCGAAGGCTACTCCTCTTTTACTCCTCTTTTCACAATGTCCCAACTGGTGAATAATACAGTTATTGTTGAGTTATTGTTGCAGATTGTTGATTTTATTCTGTGCTTTTCTCTCTCAGATATTAGACAACTGGAAGTACCACAAACCCAAAGTGGCCTCTTACTGGCTGGTGAAGTTGGATTCCACCAAACAAAGGAAGGTGAGTGTTATCAAAGCCACTATCCTGATTTTGTGTTTCAGTCAAAATCAAGAGTCCACCTCTTGATTCATAATGAAGATGAGAGATGGGGCTGGGGAAATGTACCCACTCTTTTATAACCTACAGTATATGGGTATACAGTATATCATTTATTTAAATTGCCATTGAACAGCTGTAAATATAGCAGATTGTACCTTTAATGCTTGTATTAATTGTGTTATATTATTTTCATATTGAGCCATTTGGTAATTCAGTACACCAGCGTTTCTGGATGTGTGCAGATTTCTTAGTGAGTGCTATCAAAAACATGTAATTCCATGCATTTCATTTAAAAAACTTGCTCCTCCCTTCTGGCCTCCCCGTTCAGTCCCCTTGACAGATCTGGATAGGTGAAAGCAATATGGTGGAAACTAGGAGGAGCTGTTGGTTACACCTGCCTTGTTGTCTCAGATCTGTTCAGGGGAGTGAATGAGGACTGAGGGGGAGGGAGCAAGTGGCTATGCCTAGCATCACCGTTGTTGACAGCCTTAGCTAGACATAGCAAGGAATAACAAGCAGTGAACAAAAGTTACATTAATGTTGTTGATCTCTTATGTGGGCTGTGGTGGTGGAATGTGCTGGAATGTATGCTATAGACTCTCTTGTCCCTGGTCCTTTCTAATGAACACCATACGTTGGCTGGGCTTGTAGCTATCCTAGCACTCTGCTATCTGATTAGCATTGGAGGCTGCCTAGTGATGGTGGAGGTAGCAGTCAAATAGAGACAACGTTACGCTAGCCCATTAAAAGTGCATCTCTGCCCTTAGAAACACACACTCTCCTATATCGACAAACACACATACGCGAGCACGCACAGGAACACACACACACACATCATGGCCATCAGTAATGAGACAAGAAATCAAAAGGCTCCACAGCAATAGCAATTACACTGCTCTGAAATATGCAATAAAAGAGAAGGGAAAGGAGGGATGAGGGAGCCCTCATAGACCGCCTGCAATCTCTGGTGCCTGTACTACTCTTTCTGCCTTCATCAGATACTGCCTACCTACACACTTTGTCTGATTACTATGTATGTGTGTGTGTGTGTTTGTGTATTGTGTGTGCATCAGCTTCCAAGTATACACAGCCACACCTGCCAGCTAAGAAAGAACACTCCCAATAAACTAGAAACCTCAGGTTACATTTTACATTTTAGTCATTTAGCAGACACTCTTATCCAGAGCGACTTACAGTTAGTGAGTGCATACATTTTTTTAACTAGAAAAGGAGGTTTCAGTAGAAGCTTTATTTGCTTGCTCAGCTGGCTGAAAGTATTATTATTAATGGTAGAGGAAAAAGTTGACATAGTGAGATAGTTAGGCCTATATCTTTGAAATATCTTCCAGTAAAACCAATGAAAAGTAAATATTTGGTGACCATTGAAACCAAGGTTCCAATGTTGATTAATGCAACTTTAAATGCTTACAGTTTAAAAAGTAACTTATAGCCTAACATAACAGTTATGAAAATGCTGCATCGAAGCAGCTAAAGTAAGAAAAAAGTGTGTTTTGGATGTCTACCTTAAAAGATGAAAGAGACAAGTTTAACCGTCAAATAAATACACCTGCCTTATTATCACCCCTGGTGTCACCATAACGTAAGACGCAGTTAACAGTACAAATCACGCCTTAGAAAACTATGTAGCTAGATGACACTGGGTTCCAATTTGCTTCAGCTAAACAGTGGAGTGCAGGATAATCCCTCATACCATCTGTAGTCTAGATATCCTTTACAAATATGTGAAAGTAGGCCTAGTGTATTCTCGCATTACTAAATTATGTAAACAGCAACATATTCCCTAAAACATTGAATGACCAATGTTGCATACATCGATCTCCTCTGCTCACGGTGCCAATTACTAATGAAATCATGCAACCGTGCATGTCTTCGATAGGGTATGAAATTAGATAGGAGAATATCTTTAACATTGTAGGCTATACTGTAGATTAGCCTAAAAACTAGTGGCACCTCGTCCTACAGACGGTAAAAACAATGTTTCTAAGACTAGCCTACAGAAAGTGTTTCCTAAGCGAGCTATCAGACATTTTTCATACTGTCCCGTTCATTCTGTCTACAGTCGTGGTCAAAAGTTTTGAGAATGACACAAATATTAATTTTCACAAAGTCTGCTGCCTCAGCTTTTATGATGGCAATTTGCATATACTCCAGAATGTTATGAAGAGTGATCAGATGAATTGCAATTAATTGCAATGTCCCTCTTTGCCATGAAAAAACATTTCCACTGCATTTCAGCCCTGCCACAAAAGGACCAGCTGCCATCATGTCAGTGATTCTCTCGTTAACACAGGTGAGAGTGTTGACGAGGACAAGGCTGGAGATCACTCTGTCATGCAGACTGGAAGTTTTAAAAGGAGGGTGGTGCTTGAAATCATTGTTCTTCCTCTGTTAACCATGGTTACCTGCAAGGAAACACGTGCCGTCATCATTGCTTTGCACAAAAAGGGCTTCACAGGCAAGGATATTGCTGCTAGTAAGATTGCACCTAAATCAACCATTTATCGGATAATCAAGAACTTCAAGGAGAGAGGTTCAATTGTTGTGAAGAAGGGTTCCTGGCGCCCAAGAAAGTCCAGCAAGTGCCAGGACCGTCTCCTAAAGTTGATTCAGCTGCGGGATCGGGGCACCACCAGTGCAGAGCTTGCTCAGGAATGGCAGCAGGCAGGTGTGAGTGCATCTGCATGCACAGTGAGGCGAATACTTTTGGAGGATGGCCTGGTGTCAAGAAGGGCAGCGAGGAAGCCACTTCTCTCCAGGAAAAACATCAGGGACAGACTGATATTCTGCAAAAGGTACAGGGATTGGACTGCTGAGGACTGGGGTAAAGTCATTTTCTCTGATGAATCCCCTTTCCGATTGTTTGGGGCATCCGGAAAAAAGCTTGTCCGGAGAAGACAAGGTGAGTGCTACCATCAGTCCTGTGTCATGCCAACAGTAAAGCATCCTGGGACCATTCATGTGTGGGGTTGCTTCTCAGCCAAGGGAGTGGGCTCACTCACAATTTTGCCGAAGAACACAGCCATGAATAAAGAATGGTACCAACACATCCTCCGAGAGCAACTTCTCCCAACCATCCAAGAACAGTTTGATGACGAACAATGCCTTTTCCAGCATGATGGAGCACCTTGCCATAAGGCAAAAGTGATAACTAAGTGGCTCGGGGAACAAAACATCAACATTTTGGGTCAATGGCCAGGAAACTCCCCAGACCTTAATCCCATTGAGAACTTGTGGTCGATCCTCAAGAGGCGGGTGGACAAACAAAAACCCACAAATTCTGACAAACTCCAAGCATTGATTATGCAAGAATGGGCTGCCACCAGTCAGGATGTGGCCCAGAAGTTAATTGACAGCATGCCAGGGCGGATTGCAGAGGTCTTGAAAAAGAAGGGTCAACACTGCAAATATTGACTCTTTGCATAAACTGAATGTAATTGTCAATAGAAGTCTTTGACACTTATGGAATGCTTGTAATTATACTTCAGTATACCATAGTAACATCTGAGAAAAATATCTAAAAACACTGAAGCAGCAAACTTTGTGAAGACCAATACTCATTCTCAAAACTTTTGACCACGACTGTAGACTGTTGCATTGGATCATTGGAATGTGCATATCGTTGTCTTAACAGGTTCAAACAACCACACTTGTGTATCCATTCCACTATGTTCCCACAGGCTCATAGTGCGAGAAAACGCAATTTAGGAAGGACATTTCACTCCTTATGGTATAGAATACATTTCCCCAGAAAAATACGACCCGGAGTTGCTCAATGCGGTATTTCTCTAACAAATCATCAACATTAGGCCTATATCCAAAGTCTGATTTTGTAACATAATACGTCCTACAACAAAGCACCGAGCACTGTTTACAGTGGTGCCGCTTCCTCGCATCAACTTTTGGAGATTTTATGTTGCAGTGGTCGTCTTTAAAAAAAAGAATCCACGGGTTGCAAAAAGTACAATTAGGATGACAGGAGCTGAAATATCCAGGCTTTAAATTATAAAGTCTTGTGGTATGCTTGAAATTACGTTGCGATTTCCCAAAACTACACTTGTTTTTGTGGGAAATCAGGTATTTTGCATTGAATATGAAAGTGTACATGAAAATATGAAAACACTATAAGCCTATGTCACGTATCAAAATTAATAGCTATCTTACCTCAATGTTGTTATCCTACAGTGGCTTGCGAAAGTATTCACCCCGCTTGGCATTTTTCCTATTTTGTTGCCTTACAACTTGGAATTAAAATAGATTTTTGGGGGGTTTGTATCATTTGATTTACACAACATGCCTACCACTTTGAAGATGCAAAATATTTTATTTTGTGAAACAAACAAGAAATAAGACAAAAAAACAGAAAACTTGAGCGTGCATAACTATTCACCCCCCCAAAGTCAATACTTTGTAGAGCCACCTTTTGCAGCAATTACAGCTGCAAGTCTCTTGGGGTATGTCTCTATAAGCTTGGCACATCTAGCCACTGGGATTTTTGCCTATTCTTCAAGGCAAAACTGCTCCAGCTCCTTCAAGTTGGATGGGTTCAACTGGTGTACATCTTTAAGTCATACCACAGATTCTCAATTGGATTGAGGTCTGGGCTTTGACTAGGCCATTCCAAGACATTTAAATGTTTCCCCTTAAACCACTTGAGTGTTGCTTTAGCAGTATGCTTAGGGTCATTGTCCTGCTGGAATGTGAACCTCTGTCCCAGTCTCAAATCTCTGGAAGACTGAAACAGGTTTCCCTCAAGTATTTCCCTGTATTTAGCACCATCCATCATTCCTTCAATTCTGACCAGTTTCCCAGTCCCTGCCGATTAAAAACATCCCCAAAGCATGATGCTGCCACCACCATGCTTCACTGTGGGGATGGTGTTCTCAGGGTGATGAGAGGTGTCGGGTTTGCGCCAGACATAGCGTTTCCCTTGATGGCCAAAAAGCTCAATTTTAGTCTCATCTGACCAGAGTACCTTCTTCCATATGTTTGGGGAGTCTCCCACATGCCTTTTGGTGAACACCAAAAGTGTTTGCCAAAAAGCCCAGCTCTGTGGAGTGTACGGCTTAAAGTGGTCCTATGGACATATACTCCAATCTCCGCTGTGGAGCTTTGCAGCTCCTTCAGGGTTATCTTTGGTCTCTTTGTTGCTTCTCTGATTAATGCCCTCCATGCCTGGTCCATGAGTTTTGGTGGGTGGCCCTCTCTTGGCAGGTTTGTTATGGTGCCATATTCTTTCAATTTTTTAATAATGGATTTAATGGTGCTCCGTGGGATGTTCAAAGTTTCTGATATTTTTTTATAACCCAACCCTGATCTGTACTTCTGCACAACTTTGTCCCTGACCTGTTTGGAGAGCTCCTTGGTCTTCATGGTGCCGCTTGCTTGGTGGTGCCCCTTGCTTAGTGGTGTTGCAGACTCTGGGGCCTTTCAGAACAGGTGTGTGTATATATACTGAGATCATGTGACAGATCATGTGACACTTAGATTGCACACAGGTGGACTTTATTTAACTCATTCTGTGACTTCTGAAGGTAATCTGTGCCTGCAATTTAACATCATGAGCAGAACCCCTATCATTGTCCTGTCTTGCCACAGCACTGTGAACTGCGGCACATTGAAGCATACAGTATGATTGGTCTATTTACAGTTGAAGTCAGAAGTTTACATACACCTTAGCCAAATACATTTAAACTCAGTTTTTCACAATTCCTGATATTTAATCCTAGTAGAAATTCCCTGTCTTAGGTCAGTTAGGATCACCACTTTATTTTAAGAATGTGAAATGTCAGAATAATAGTAGAGAGAATGATTTATTTCAGCTTTTATTTCTTTCATCACATTCCCAGTGGGTCAGTAGTTTACATACACTCAATTCGTATTTGGTAGCATTGCCTTTAAATTGTTTAACTTGGGTCAAATGTTTCGGGTAGCCTTCCACAAGCTTCCCACAATAAGCTGGGTGAATTTTGGCCCATTCCTCCTGACAGAGCTGGTGTAACTGAATCAGGTTTGTGGGCCTCCTTGCTCGCACACGCTTTTTCAGTTCTGCCCACACATTTTCTATAGGATTGAGGTCAGGGCTTTGTGATGGCCACTCCAATACCTTGACTTTGTTTTCCTTAAGCCATTTTGCCACAACTTTGGAAGTATGCTTGGGGTCATTGTCCATTTGGAAGACCCATTTGCGACCAAGCTTTAACTTCCTGACTGATGTCTTGAGATGTTGCTTCAATATGTCTACATAATTTTCCTTCCTCATGATGCCATCTATTTTGTGAAGTGCACCAGTCCCTCCTGCAGCAAAGCACCCCCACAGCATGATGCTGCCACCCCCGTGCTTCACGGTTGGGATGGTGTTCTTCGGCTTGCAAGCAACCCCCTTTTTCCTCCAAACATAATGATGGTCATTATAGCCAAACAGTTCTATTTTTGTTTCATCAGACCAGAGGAGATTTCTCCAAAAAGTACAATCTTTGTCCCCATGTGCAGTTGCAAACCGTAGTCTGGCTTTTTTATGGTGGTTTTGGAGCAGTGGCTCCTTCCTTGCTGAGCGGCCTTTCAGGTTATGTCGATATAGCACTCGTTTTACTGTGGATATAGATACTATTTTACCCGTTTCCTCCAGCATCTTCACAAGGTCCTTTGCTGTTGTTCTGGGATTGATTTGCACCTTTTCAAAGTACCAAAGTACGTTCATCTCTAGGAGACAGAACGCGTCTCCTTCCTGAGCGGTATGACGGCTGCGTGGTCCCATGGTGTTTATACTTGCGTACTATTGTTTGTACAGATGAACGTGGTACCTTCAGGCGTTTGAAAATTGCTCCCAAGAATGAACCAGACTTGTGGAGGTCAACAATATTTTTTCTGAGGTCTTGGCTGATTTATTTTGATTTTCCCATGATGTCAAGCAAAGAGGCACTGAGTTTGAAGGTAGGCCTTGAAATACATCCACAGGTACACCTCCAATTGACTCAAATGATGTCAATTAGCCTATCAGAAGCTTCTAAATCCATGACATCATTTTCTGGAATTTTCCAAACTGTTTAAAGGCACAGTTCTTTTTTGTTTAAAAAAAAAGTTTTTAAACCTTTATTTAACTAGGCAAGTCAGTTAAGAACAAATTCTTATTTACAATGACGGCCTAAACCGGCCAAACCCGGACGACGCTGGGCCAATTGTGCGCTGCCCTATGGTCGACCTATGGGCGGCGCACAACCTTCAACTTAATGTATGTAAACTTCTGACCCCCTGGAATTGTGATACAGTGAATTATAAGTGAAATAATCTGTCTGTAAACAATTGTTGGAAAAATTACTTGTGTCATGCACAAAGTAGATGTCCTAACCGACTTAACAGTGGAGTGGTTGAAAAACAAGTTTTATGACTCCAACCTAAGTGTATGTAAACTTCCGACTTCAACTGTATGTAAGGGATCAAGGAGATTAGATGCATGTTTTAAAGAAACACCCTCAAGAGTGGAGATGAATGGAGAGAGAGAACGTTCTCTGCTGAGTTTATAAAACTGTAAAAAGAGTAGCACGGGAGCGCTGTTTTATGTACAATGTTGTCAACATAATTAGGTTGCTGTTACTCCCGTCCCTATTGCAGAATGCAGCCTTTTGACAATATGTACCAAAGTCGATTTAATCCACACTTGCATTAGTCCCCTCGTTTGGTGATTGCCATTTAGGCTGTGACAACGAAAAGGCAGCATTTACATTTTAGTCATTTAGCAGACGCTCTTATCCAGAGCGACTTACAGTTAGTGAGTGCATACATTTTTCATACTGGCCCCCCGTGGGAAACGAACCCACAACCCTGGTGTTGCAAGCGCCATGCTCTACCAACTGAGCAGACATTATGTTTTAGCAGGGAAGTTTAGTATGGTGACCTGATCATTTTGTCAAACAGATTATGATCCCAAAAGTGTAAGTTTGATTCCCAAAATAATTTAGTTAGGGTGTAGTGGCAGATTTATGTCATTTTGTCTTCAGGAGATTTTATTATCTGTTATCTATTTACTTTATTTAGTCTGATCAGTGGAAACATAGGGTAATTAATGTGCTTGTCAGCAAGAACACTACTGTTATTCCCCACACTTATTTTATTATTCCAATTTTGCCAGTGTAATCACATATCTGAAATCTTTGAAAATGAATTATATTAGTCTATGCATTGTTGCAGCCATTCATGGATAGTTTTGAATAAGTCATACAAATAAGCATTGGATATTAAATGCTCCAGGAATCAAATATAATTTTTGACATTTTAGTATTGTGCACATGCTAGGCAGAGATGGTATGGTGGGTCACAATTCATAAACACATCATATTTTGTCTATGTAGAGTAAGATGATGGCAAGGATCTTCAACTAGTAGGCATAAACCACCTAAATATTGATATTCATTAGATTTTTCTTGAAGGTTGGGGGACACACAAAACTTGGGAAACATAGATCAGGGGTGGCCAACCCTCCTGGAGAGCCAGCAGGATTTTCTTCCAGCCCTATTTTAAAGCGATATTTCACCCAAATGACAAAATACAACATGTTTGTGTCCTTACCTTGAAAGCAGTCTATGGACAAGGAGACTGCAGTCTATGAGTTGGTTACCCACTGCCATCAACCATTAATATAAAAATGTGCAGAGCCTTGGTGTAGTGGTAACACTCACCGGCACCTGTCACATACAACTTTCCACCTGAGAACATGGATCAACTCCTGCTTCCAACCTTCCCACTGTTTCTAGCATTTGCCTGTCTCCCTATCTCATTTCATTACTGTATGAATAAAACATGTTAAAACAATATTTGCATACTTTACATTTCACCCCCCAAAAAATCTCAAAGTAAGAAATTATGAGTGTTCATTTAATGTTCAAAGCATCCTGAATACACCTGACCTGTGGTTTTTATTAAGATAAAATTCACCCTTGTCATAGGCCTAAGCCTTGTCAAAATATGTAGAATTGCAGGAAATGAGCTTTAAAACAGTGCAATCTTCCCCGTCTAGGAGTTGTGCCACTGAAATTCACAGCAAATCTCACTCCAAGCTTTCTTCAAAAGTTGGCAGCCCTATAAATGGCTTATTTTATCAGTAAAAAAGCATTAGTAGGACTATAGGAAACATCAGGCATTGAATTTAGTGTTATTTTGACAACATTTGCGTACTTCAGCTTATACAAGGAGTTACTTGTTGCTGGGTTGCTAGCCAATTAAGTTTAGTTTTGAAACACCATGTTAACTAATGGGAGTTTTTGGAGTTACAAAAAGCTAAATATTGTAAAAGGAGGTATAATAGTTATCAGAATGATTTTTGCAGGGTTTGTAATTTGGAGTGTTCTGTATCTTAAAAGGTGTACAAATAGCAGTGTTCCAAAAAATTTCATATTTTGGTCACCCTCCATGTTAAAATTAGCATTTTTAAGTGATTATATTTTTTAAAGTATGATGAGTATAAAAAACTAATTTCAGCAACTCAAGTTAGACCTCTCTGCACATTATAAAGTTGAAATGGTATGTTTTGCATAAAAGCTGTAGGATGAGTAGCGATGGGAATAATAATAATAAGTAATTGGAAGTATGACGAATAACAGTAGTGTGTTGCTTCGCAAGCACACTATCTAATTCCCTGTTAGATTCTTAATATATTATTGCATTGCGGTGGTCTTTCATGCTGTCCCCCTGGCGTCTGTTCAAACCTTGATTTATTTAGATTTTCTTTCTCTCCCTCCCTCTATCTTGTGAGTTTTTTTAATGTTTGATGAAGGTTCTTGACATCGTACGTGCTAACGTTTTTTTCTCTCTATCACTCTCCCTTTTTCTCGTCTGTTTCTTTAATGTATCATGAAGGTTCTGGACATCGTCCGTACCAACGTGCGCTCGGTGCTGCAGCGGATTTGGAGGGAGCCCGACGTGGACAGTTTACATTTGTACCGCCTTTTCAACCGCGTCTTCAACCGACTGCTCTGGAGCCATGGACAGGGCCTGTGGAACTTGTTCTCCAACACTGGGTAGGTCTCTCTCTCTCTCTCTCTCTCTCTCTCTCTCTCTCAATAACTGATTTCTCTTCAATACTTGGTACTGTAGTGCTCAATCCCATATCGACCCCTACCCACTATCCCCTATGCACCTGCAAAGATATGAGAGTATTAACAATATGGTAATAGCTCCACCATGCCCTCACCCTCTGATAGGCTAAGTGGAATTTTCACCATTGTGCTTACACCTATCCAATTCTCTCAGATCACCCCAAGTGCATAGAGGGTAGGGGCTAGGGATCGATTTGGGATTGTGCGTGTATCTCTCTCTGTCTTGATAAGTGCATATTTCAGTAACAAATGTCCAACAAGTATGTAACAACTGAAATCCATGCTACAGCATGATAATGACAGAATTTTTAGGCTCCACATTATGCAAAATGCATGTTTGATTGACAGCTGGTGGACTTATTGACAGGCCGAGACATGCGCTGCTGTGGAGATGGCAGACAGACAGACAAAAAGACAGACAGACTGGCAGAGAGCCGGACAGACAGAGTAGACAGACAGACAGGCAGACATACAGAGTAGACAGGCAGACAGACCGTGTAGACAGACAGAGTAGACAGACATTCCCTCTCATCCTGCGAAGAGCTACAGGGATGAAAGCAACGCGTGTCTATCAGAGTCGAGACACATTTTGCAGTCTGCATAATGTGGCCACAGATCTTGTTTTCTTATCATCTAGGCTTTTTATGTGTCAGAAAGGAAGGAAGGAAGGAAGGAAGGAAGGAAGGAAGGATGGATGGCTAAAGTAGGTCCCATACTCTTCTTTCCTCACCCACTTCTGTTTGTTAGTAAGGTCCTTTGATGTCTCTCCCGACTTTTTTTGTGTGCCATTTTTGTGCCGACTGTAAGTGGCTTTCTACATAGTGACTCATCTTACTCTGCATCCTTGTAGAAACACACACACACACACTCCTATTCACAAATGCACACACACGAACATTATATTATATCATCTTCAAGAGCCAGCTGTGGTTCAGCCAGCTTCTCATCTCGTTGCTGATAAAGGTTCAACCTTTTCCTCCCTCTCCATATTATTTTTGTAACCAGTTAGCAGCGCCGCCACCTCGCTCGTCGTGGGGGGCTACGTGGGTTTTTGTATAGCTGCCCCGGCAACTGCCACAGCTGGTAATTGATTGTCAATGACCGAGTGCGCCGTACTGTAGCCTGTGAACAGGCCTTGTTCGAGTCAGTGAGTGGCTTTATTTCACTTGATGAGAGTCCGAGTCTCCAAGCGGATTAGCCAGCGGATGCGGCTCAGGCACCACTTGCTGCTTGTGTCTAATTAGGGTGCGCACTCCGGAAGGACGTGGGCCGCCCTAGCCACAGGATAAACGCCCCGCCCCCTCAGTTGAGACGGAGAGGAGAGACATTAAAACGCCCCGCCCCCTCAGTTCTCTCACAGATCTGAGCGCCTCACAGTCGGGGGGAATGGCCAGTGTGATAAAGGGGGTTAAATGTACAGCATTTGTTTTATCAGCTTATGTCTTTGTGTGTGTGTGCTCTGTGGCGCAGCTCGTCATGGGAGACCATCTTCAATAAGAGCAGCGAGGTGGTGTCGCCGCAGGAGCTCCAGTGCTGCCAGAGGCTGGTGCAGCTGTGCAGGGACTGCCTTCTCGTTGTCTACAAGTTCGTCTCCGAGTCCCGGGGCTCGCTCACCGGCCTCAACCCCGAATGGGACGACACTAGGTAAGGATCAACATCCAATCAACATCCATTCTTCTTTTGTTTTCTACTGATGAAACAAATCATTTTCGCAACTGATATGCTTCCAACTTGGGTTGTAAAATTCCATACACTTAAAAATAAATCTTGGTTGGAGGTAGAAACTTTCCTGAAGTTCCCGGGTTTTTCCTGAAATTCTGATTGGAGGTAGAAACTTTCCCAGTTCCCAGGTTCTACAGAATTCCTGTTTAGAGGTCTCTATGCTAATTCCCTCCTGATTCTGGGAAGCCTCCAAACGGCATTTCTGAGAAAAAAAACTGGGAACTTAGGGAATTTTTTACCCCTACCCCCAATATGGAGTTGTTAGTGAGACAACACACAAGACTTGGACAACGTTATGATTCCCATTGGTATTTCAATGTTTCGAATCTCAGACCTGATGAAAATTCCACTGGGGATCAGAATGTTGCCCAAGTGTTGTGCACCCCACCAATACATAATTTTTTTTTTCATGCATTTTCTTTCTCTATCTAGCACCTGAACCAAGTGGTAGGTGTTTATATTTTCTCTTCCAGTGTTTCTTCCACTTCCCGCCTAACTCTGTTGCCCCCTGCCAACTCTAATATTACTCCTTACCCTTCCCAATCCCGATACCAACACACACACAAATTTCAAAAAGTATGGGTCTCATTTGAAACTTTGCATGCCGGCAGCTCACAACGTTATTTCCGCACATTTGTGCCCCAACAACCCCCCATCTCGCCCTAACTACGATTCTTCACAGGAATCTCACCTGACCAACACCTTACCCCAGCCTCTATACCCCTTCTATAACACTTCTATTTTTAAGGTCGATCCTCGTAAGACTTGGTGGGGGGTTGGTTTTGAATGTGTAAACTTTTAAGATGCGTCCCAAATGGCACCCTATCACCTATATAGTGCACTACTTTTGACTGTAGCCTATGGGCCCTGGTCAAAAGTAGTGCACTATATAGGGAATAGGATGCTATTTGGAACACAAGCTAAGAACACACAGGGCTACAATGTTAACAGGAAGGAATGACCTTGGGATTAGCGTGCAGGTTAGCAGGCCCCCTGAGGCCAGTTTAATTCAATTATGAGCCAGATGAGGCGTACCACAAATTACCTTACGCCTGCTCCTTCCCCCAGCACGCTTTAGATGATTCATAACCAGTGTATATTTAACAGGCTATCACTTTGCACTTTCTAACTTAGTCATTAAAAGGGTGGGGTTTGGGGGGATTTTGGATAGTCTGTATTAGGTTCCGATCATCACCATAAAGGAAAAAGTACAAATTTAACAAATACCTAACAATGCTGTAACGTTAGTAAAAAAAAAGTAACTTTAGCTACTTTATTAACTGTGCGCTTTCTCCCCTTCCTACAGTAAATAACAACAACTCCATTCAGATTATTAAGTAGCAGCCTACCTGTTTTTACTCTTGGTGTTGTAGCCTGTACTTCTCATTTAACTTTTAGTTCTGTCATTTTAATTCCATCTTCCATTGATTAGCTTAGATATCTCAGAATAACTTGCTATACGGAGGCTCTAGCTCTGACTGTAGCCTAGTGCCGGTTTGATGACTTGTGATTGGACGACAACAACAACAAGCTACACACGCCACTGTCATGAAAAGCAAAAGCAGCATAAATTATAAAAATGTCTCTCTCTTTGCAGGAAGCGTGATGTAGACCATCAATATTGTGAATTCACGTGAAATGTTATGATTTATTTCTTATAGTTTTAACAGAAAACCGTCTGTTTAAACAGTATTTTTGACCAGAGCATAATAGTCGACTGTGTAACTGAATCTCTTTTGAAGAACTTCATGCCTTATCTTTGAGGAACTTGACGCCTTTCAATGGCAAGAGACAGGGGTGGGAGTGATGTGGTGTGTGTGTGTGTGTGTGTCGGACTCCTTATTTAGAAGTTTTTATTGACAGGTATTATTTTAGATTATGAGATTGGGAGATAGATGAGAGGGATACAGCGTAGAAAAAGTGAGTGGCGGAACAGGTATCGAACCACTGCCTCCAGGGGATTATGTGGTTCGGCCCCGGCATCAATAGCCCTAGACCAGCCAGCAGCACACGTTTAGCACTCCTATGGGGAAAGTCATGCATATGAAAGAGAATTAAGCAACCTGCCTGAATGAATACTATTTACCTGCTTAGCCCCTGAGGGGTATCCTTCCTTCTGTCCATTAAAATAATAAATTGGTCTATCTCTCTTAACTTCCTGTGTGTGTGTGTGCTCACCATGGAAGCTCACCATTGGCTGCAGGACCAGCCACCTCCGCCCATGGCTCTTCTTCCTCTTCCACTGCCTCTTCTTCCTCTGCCACCTCGCCCATTGACGCAGGTCTATGCTCGATTCAGTGACCTCTATTCTTCCCCTCACTCCGGCTTCACCCCTTTGCTGCCTACAGTCTGACTGAGTCCTCACCAGGGTTGATCTCAAAATGCTTGGAAAGACCACATGTTGCAAATATCAAAATGTTAGTGGAGACACCTTGATAGTTTTGGAGGCAGCTTTATGTTTTCTGGCAAAGAGCAGTGTGGTAGCTAACTAACTGTGAATAAGTGAATTGTTTCGCCCCTCAGCTAGCCAAGTTAGATAGCTACCTAGCTAAATGCAGCATTATGTTTGCTAGTAAAGAGCAGTGTGGTAGCTAACTAACTGAATAAGTGAATAGTTTCACCCCACGGTTAGCCAAGTTAGTTAGCTAGCTAAAGTTATTTACAGTTAGTTAGCAACTGCTCCTACACTCTTTCGCTAGCTACCGTAATGCTGTCAAAAACATGTGGTAATGAGGTGTCTCTAGTTGTGTTTACACTTTCCAAGTGTATTCCATTTCAATTCAGTCAACTCTGGAAGGAAATCGAAATTCAACATTCAAGAATCCAAAAGTATTGGACCCTTGGACTTTCAATTCATCCTCTGAATTTGACTGAAATAAAAATGGAATTGAGCCCTACCCCAATTCCTCACTGCACACCTTCCTGCTAACTGTGGCTTGCTGTAGCTGTGTCCCAGTAGTCTCAGATAGATTCCTCACCTTGTCTCCTTTTTCGTCAGACTTAGTCTAATAAAGGTTAAGAAAGCTGTCTGGTGAAAGGACAGATTAGAGGTCATGTAGGGAAGGAGGCAAGGAAAGTAAACAAGTTGAGACTGTTGGGAAGTAGCCTGTCAACATGCAATCGCAAGAGACTGTGAGCCCTGGCCGGCCAATAACCTAACCTCTTCTCGTCACTGACACAGAATGGGTTCCATCGCACTGCGTGCTTAGCACAGTTTCACAACGATGGCCATCCTTCCTTTGATTCCATCAGACACTTGTGAATGCCCCATGGCCACCATGGGGCTGGTTACGGTTATTTTGTCATTAGCCACATGCTTTGTCTCGATGGGGTGACATTATGTCTGCCTATGAGAAGAGCACCATCTTGCACCTGTCACCTCCTTCTGCTAGCCTGTGACTCATACCCTACTCACTGCCGTTGTGTCTGGACCCCCTGACCTGCATCCTTATGCTGCCTGCTTACCTGACACACACACACACACTAACACGCTCGTAAATGCACACATATGCAACACACACGCGCATGCCAAACACACACACACTCACACACACACTCTCAAATACGCATTTTACACAGACATATTGTGCGGTACACACACACACACTGGAGTGGAGTGGGTCTCAGTGATGAGAGACACTGCCACTCTAACTTAAGCACCTCTCATGGTAGGAGTACAGAACACATGTGTCACTGATCACATACAGTAGGTCTCAGAACAGGCCTTCTCTTTCTGTGTGGGCAGAACATATGAACATAGCCACACAACAGTATTATTGTGTGCCTAGATGTCTTTTCAAACTACTGAACTGAACCAAGCCGAACCAAACCAAGATTTACTGAGCTGGCCTGGTTACACATCCACCATAGTTGCTTGAATCCAGCTGAAAAGTACAATGTGAATTATTCTATTCAGTACAGTTAAGTGTCGGGACCATATCACGTGATCGGCCTACCTAGTGTGGAAAGATTGTTCTCTGTGTGAATTCCTGAGAAGTAGAAAGGGAAAAGAGTACACACAATCACCAACCACCACCCACAAGCATCACCGCATAGTCCATGTTTGAATTTCATTTCTTGCAGTGGCATTTCCATACATTGGCCAACAAGTGTTCCGTGGAAGAAATATGGTAATGCCTTCCAAGAAGTATAATAAACACCAAAGTTTCAGACTGATCCCCTTCGAACACGGTCTAGGGGGTTTGTAATAAAACTCAAACAGAACGGAATCAGATAGAGAGGAAAGCCTTCAGGAGAAATCAAAGCTTCTTCCGAAATGGCTCCCTATTCCCTATGTAGTGCACTACTTTTAAACAGATTAGGGAATAGGGTGCCATTTTGGACGCAGACAACATAATCAGAAACCAGGAAAGGGATGAATCCGAAAGGTGACAGACAATCCCGCAACACCATCCTACTGTACGTTTAAATGTCAATGTTGAAACTCGCATCGGAAACCATTGTAAGCAGTGCCCCTGAAGTTGTGAGGATGTAGCGAAGCAGTGCAGCAATACGAGAGGGTATTGGCTAAGTAATCCGCTCTCCCTCTCTTCCGGCCTTGCTCCATTGAATGGTTGAGCTCTAGAACAGGCCAAGTAGTACTGTGGGTGGGTAGTTTAACAACCGCAATCGAAAAGCTTGTGCTTGACAAGTACCCGCACGGCCCACTTGAGTGGTTTTCAAGGACATTCTTCTTGAGCTAAATGAAGTTAATTTGAATCCTGCTCAACTCTCCTGGGTCGGGCTCTGTTGCGGCAGATGCCCTCGACGCAGCAAGTCTTTTTTTCGGTCGACTTTAAAAAGAAGAAGAAGAAGCAGCTCGACTAATTTTTCCAGGAGATATTTTACAGGGAAAGTCTGTCAGAGTGAACAGTGGTATCTGGCAGCTAACATAATAACATTATTTCACACCATAATCCATATGGTTTAGTTGACAAACTGTTTTATTAGAGTTACCCATTGAAAATCTGTATAATTGGAGCAAGCAGTTTTTTACTCATGTAATTTTTGTTCTCCCTGACTTACTTAATTGATGTCCCTTGCCATTTTGAATGAGTTTAAATATTGATACATATAGTTAAATTACATATTATATGCCTTGTTATTAGACATTATAAAGGTTCATACATGCTTATAAGTTATAAAGCAAAGTGTTACAGTGAGTTGTTTGTGTTTGAGCTGTACTAATATTTAAAGAGGAAATCTGCAGTTCAAACAATAACAAAGTGGTAAACTCGCCACTTTTTTGGTAAACAGCTTAGGCATGGGGCTGAAGAAATGTAACTACTCTCAAATTCATAGACAGAGCTATGGATGCATTTTCAACATCTCCCTGACCCAGTCTGTAATACCTACATGTTCCAAGCAGACCACCATAGTCCCTGTGCCCAAGAACGCCAAGATAACCTGTCGTAGCACTCACATCAATGCTTTGAAAGGCTGGTCATGACTCACATCAACACCATCATCCCAGACACCCTGGACCCACTCCAATTCACATACTGCACCAACAGATCCACAGATGACGCAATCTCTATTGCACTCCACACTGCCCTCTCTCACCTGAACAAGAGAAACACCTATGTGAGAATGCTGTTCAGTGACTACAGCTCAGCGGTCAACACCATAGTACCCTCCAAGCTCATCACTAAGCTAATGGCCCTAGGTCTGAACACCTCCCTCTGCAACTGGATCCTGGATTTCCTGACGGACCGCCCCCAGGTGGTGAGGTTAAGCAATAACACATCCGCCACGCTGACCCGCAACATGGGGACCCCTCGGGGGTGCGTGCTTAGTCCCCTGCTGTACTCCCTGTTCATCCACGACTCCAACACCAGCATTAAGTTAGCTGACGACATGACGGTGGTAGGCCTGATCACCGACGACAGTGAGACGGCCTATAAGTAGAGATCAGAGACCTGGCAGTGTGGTGCCAGGACAACAACCTCTCAACGTCAGCAAGACAAAGGAGCTGATCGTGGACTACAGGAAATGGAGGGCCGAACACACCCCCATTCACATCGACGGGGCTGTAGTGGAGCTGGTCGAGAGCTTCACCACTTGGTACGGCAACTGCTTGCATCCTACCGAAAGGTGCTACAGAGGGTATTGCATACGGCCCAGTACATCACTGGGGCCATACTCGCTGTCATCCAGGACCTCTATACCAGGCATATAGGCCCAACATTTAAAAAAAAAGATTCCAGCCACCCAGGTCATAGACTGGTCTCTCTGCTACCGCACAGCAAGTGGTACTGATGCACCAAGTCTGGAACCAACAGGACCCTGAACAGCTTCTACCCCCAAGCCATAAGACTGCTAAATAGTTAGTTAAATAGTTAACCAAATAGCTACCCGGACTATCTGCATTGACCTTTTTTGCAAACACTTTTTTTTTTACTGATCACATAACGCTGCTTCTAATGTTTTAAATATCCTGTTGCCTAGTCACTTAATTCCTAGTTATATGTACTGTACATACAGTGGGGAGAACAAGTATTTGATACACTGCCGATTTTGCAGGTTTTTCTACTTACAAAGCATGTAGAGGTCTGTCATTTTTATCATAGGTACACTTCAACTGTGAGAGACGGAATCTAAAACAAAAATCACATTGTATGATTTTTAAGTAATTCATTTGCATTTTATTGCATGACATAAGTATTTGATACATCAGAAAAGCAGAACTTAATATTTGGTACAGAAACCTTTGTTTGCAATTACAGAGATCATACGTTTCCTGTAGGTCTTGACCAGGTTTGCACACACTGCAGCAGGGATTTTGGCCCACTCCTCCATACAGACCTTCTCCAGATCCTTCAGGTTTCGGGGCTGTCGCTGGGCAATACGGACTTTCAGCTCCCTCCAAAGATGTTCTATTGGGTTCAGGTCTGGAGACTGGCTAGGCCACTCCAGGACCTTGAGATGCTTCTTACGGAGCCACTCCTTAGTTGCCCTGGCTGTGTGTTTCGGGTCATTGTCATGCTGGAAGACCCAGCCACGACCCATCTTCAATGCTCTTACTCTTACTCTTAGGGAAGGAGGTTGTTGGCCAAGATGTCGCGATACATGGCCCCATCCATCCTCCCCTCAAACGGTGCAGTCGTCCTGTCCTCTTTACAGAAAAGCATCCCCAAAGAATGATGTTTCCACCTCCATGCTTCACGGTTGGGATGGTGTTCTTGGGGTTGTACTCATCCTTCTTCTTCCTCCAAACACGGCGAGTGGAGTTTAGACCAAAAAGCTCTATTTTTGTCTCATCAGACCACACAACCTTCTCCCATTCCTCCTCTGGATCATCCAGATGGTCATTTGCAAACTTAAGACGGGCCTGGACATGCGCTGGCTTGAGCAGGGGAACCTTGCGTGCGCTGCAGGATTTTAATCCATGACGGCGTAGTGTGTTACTAATGGTTTTCTTTGAGACTGTGGTCCCAGCTCTCTTCAGGTCATTGACCAGGTCCTGCCGTGTAGTTCTGGGCTGATCCCTCACCTTCCTCATGCCCCACGAGGTGAGATCTTGCATGGAGCCCCAGACTGAGGGTGATTGACCGTCATCTTGAACTTCTTCCATTTTCTAATAATTGCGCCAACAGTTGTTGCCTTCTCACCAAGCTGCTTGCCTATTGTGCTGTAGCCCATCCCAGCCTTGTGCTGCAATTTTATCCCTGATGTCCTTACACAGCTCTCTGGTCTTGGCCATTGTGGAGATGTTGGAGTCTGTTTGATTGAGTGTGTGGACAGTTGTCTTTTATACAGGTAACAAGTTCAAACAGGTGCAGTTAATACAGGTAATGAGTGGAGAACAGGAGGGCTTCTTAAAGAAAAACTAACAGGTCTGTGAGAGCCGGAATTCTTACTGGTTGGTAGGTGATCAAATACTTATGCCATGCAATAAAATGCAAATGAATTACTTAAAAATCATACAATGTGATTTTCTGGATTTTTGTTTTAGATTCCGTCTCTCACAGTTGAAGTGTACCTATGATAAAAATTACAGACCTCTACATGCTTTGTAAGTAGGAAAACCTGCAAAATCGGCAGTGTATCAAATACTTGTTTTCCCCACTGTATCTAGCCCAATTTCCTTGTACTCCTGCACATCGACTCGGTACTGGTACCCTGTGTATATAGCTAAGTTATCGTTACTCATTGTGTATTTATTATTACACTGAACGAAAATATTAATGCAACATGCAACAATTTCAAAGATTTTACTGAGTTACAGTTCATATGAGGAAATCAGTCAATTGAAATTAATTAATGAGGCCCTAATCTATGGATTTCACATGACTAGGAATACAGATATGCATCAGTTGGTCACAGATGCCTTTCAAAAAAAGATAGTTGCATGGATCAGAAAACCAGTTAGTATCTGGTGTGACCACAATTTGCCTCATGCAGCGCGATCTAGAGCATCCCAAACTCAATGGGTGACATGCCTGGTGAGTATGCAGGCCATTGCAGAACTGCGACATTTTCAGCTTCTAGGAATTGTGTACAAATCCTTGTGACATGGGGCCGTGCATTATCATGCTGAAACATGAGGTGATGGCGGCGGATGAATTGCACGACAATGGGCCTCAGGATCTCTTCACGGTATCTCTGTGCATTCAAATTGCCATCAATAAAATTGTGTTCATTAACCGTAGTTTATGCCTACCCATACCATAACCCCACCGCCACCATGGGGCATTCTGTTCACAATGTTGATATCAGCAAACCGCTCGCCCACACGATGGCCATCTGCCCGGTACAGTTGAAACCAGGATTCATCCGTGAAGGGCACACTTCTCCAGAGTGCCAGTGGCCATCGAAGGTGAACATTTGCCTACTGAAGTCGGTTACGACGCCGAACTGCAGTCAGGTCAAGACCCTGGTGAGGACGACGAACACACAGATGAGATTCCCTGACACGGTTTCTGAAAGTTTGTGCAGAAATTCTTCGGTTGTGCAAACCCATAGTTTCATCAGCTGTCTGGGTGGCTGATCCCGCAGGTGAAGAAGCCAGATGTGTAGGTCCTGGGCTGGTATTGTTACATGTGGTCTGCGGTTGTGAGGCTGGTTGGACGTACTACCAAATTCTCTAAAACAATGTAGTAGAGAAATGAACATTTAATTCTCTGGCAACAGCTCTGGTGGACAATCCTGCAGTCAGCATGCCAATAGCAGGCTCCCTCCCTGACAAAACTGCACATTTTATAGTGGCCTTTTATTGTCCCCCAACAGAAGTTGCACCTGTGTAATGATCATGCTGTTTCTTGATATGCCACACCTGTCAGGTGTATGGATTATCTTAGCAAAAGAGAAATGCTCACTAACAGGGATGCTAAGAAATTTGTTAAAATTTTTTGGGGGAATTAAGCTTTTTGTGCGTAACATTTCTGGGATCTTTTATTTCAGCTCATGAAACATGGGACCGACGCTTTACATGTTTAATTTATATTTTTGTTCAGTGTACTTTTATTATTACGTGTAATACTTTTCTATTATTTCTCTATTTTAAGCACTTCACTGTTAGTCTACACCTGTTGTTTATGAAGCATGTGATGAATAACATTTGATACATATCCAGGTGCTCTAGATTCACTTACTCACGCCATCTCACCTCACACTGGTCTTATCCCCACCTTCTCTACCAACTGTATATCTTTTTGCCAGATGTCTATTTGATGGCTGCGGAACTCATAGTCATAGCTCATCATTAGAAAGGTGCAAGTATTTTAGTCTAGGCTGGAACAAAAGGGGAGACGTAACCTCAGTTCGTAAATGTGTCGTCAGCTTGCAGGTATAATGGGTTAATGCGGCCATGATCTCTTCACTGTGACCCTTTGGGCCTCTAATCCTCCCCTCATTATGTCCCTTGTCCACCTTCCCCCTCCTCTCTTCCCTCCATCTTTCCCTCCGTCTGTGCAGGTATCTGCTGCCAGTGACCTCCCAGTTCATCATGAAGTGGCCTTCGTCCAGCTTCGGCCATGTCTCCTCGGCCATGCCGCGCTCACGCAGCCTGTTCACCACCCGGATGGGTCAGTTCTGACTGACTGCCCAGGCCCACCCTCATGAGCTGTAACCCCCAGCCAATCCCTCCTCCCGTTCAACTAACCAGTTATGAGGGCTGAACTGGTGGACCTTGGACCCCACAGCGGCCCCACAAAGGCCAGAACATATGGGTGAGATTAGTGACACACTTGCTCAGCCCAGAACAGCCCAATGTTCCAACAGGACTCTTGATCTGAGCTCCACTTAGTGTCAGACAATGGGTCATTCTCATGTGCCCCGACCCAGTCTTTCTCTGTCTCTCTCTCTCTATCTCTGTCTCTTTCAGTCTCTCTTTATCTCTTTCTTTCTCTCTCTCTCTCTCTCTCATTGTACCTTACATTGCTGTATTATATCCGCTCACTGTACAGTTACAAGGTACTGTAAAGGAAAAAAACTAACAGAACAAGGATTCTTACATTTATTTTGTAAAATGTTCCATGAATGCAGCGAATGCTGACGCAGTATGCAGATGGAATGAGATGAACAAGTTATCCCTTCGTTGAGAAAAAAAATAAGCTTATTTTTTTGCTGGTTATGACAATTGCAAAATGTATTTTGGTGCTGTTTGTATTTTATTTATTTTTTAACTTATTTCAATGTGTTGCTTTAGTTTACATTGTTTTAACAGTCACTTTATGTTCCTGTCAATACAACCCAAAGTACAGTAGAGAGAGGAAAGACTAACTTATGTAAAACCATTGGGTCAATTGCAACCAACAGGCAGAACTTGGTAGAACGCGCAGCTGCAGTTTAGCGCTGGATTTCTTAAAACGCTACTAATGGGAGTTTACATGCACCTGCGTGTTAAAACAAACTTGCTTGCAACCAAAAACCCACAAGAATAAACCAGCAGATCAGTTGAATTAATCAATATTTATTGTAAGAATATAGACCCAGTGAATTGTAAGAAACTCGAGTAGAGTATAGTTCAGTACAGGGATGTAGAGTATAGTACATTACAGTAGAGTACTAAACTGCAACTGTACTATACTGTACTCTACTTTCCTGTACTGTACTTTACTGAGCTATACTATACTCTACTCGAGTACAGTAAAGTACAATACAGTACATTATATATGTTTGGGCCACATTAGAATATAATTTGTCATTTGACATACCTTGACTAGACTCGCTAACTTAATAAAAATATAGATTTGTATTAACAAAATCATGATTGGCTTGATGAAGTTGATTTTAGATGCTGACAGTTCAGGAATACTTTATTTTCCCCTTTTGATAAGAAATTACCATACAGTATTAAGACAAGTTTTTATTAATGGATTAAATATTGGAAATGAAAAGTAAGTATACCAACACAAGCTTTACATTAATAAAATGTATAGCGTAAATTGCCACAGTAGATTCTCTCTGGTAAACGAGGAATACCTCATTTCAGTTGTATGTAATGATTGTCATATTTAAATCTGTGCTTAATCTGCTCAAATAATAGGTTTAATTTATACCAAAGATAATACCCAGAGGGCTAAATAGTCTTGAAAATGTTTGGCAGCAACCGAGACTTAAAGTTAACACTGACATCAGTTTTAGGGCGCGGTAATATGGTGGTCAATAGTGGTTGCAATTGAGATCAGCAGTGTAGGTGATCTTAGGGCATATTGATGGTTTAACGAGAGATCACCTCATTTTGAGACCATGCTCAATGTTGGTTGCAGTTGACCCTTAAACTTTTAACTATAGCTTATATTTTGCGTCTGTAATGACAAGTGCAGCACAGTATAGCCACAGAGCATCTAGAATGTTTATTTCCACTTAGTGAGCCAAGCATCCCTGCTATTTAGTGAATGAGTTGACTTTGCAGCCTCACCATATGGAGCCAAAATGGAGTCTCGGATATCGTCCTGTTGAATATGCACCTTGCAGTATATCACAGCGTGGCCGGTTTCCAGGTCAACTACATTGTCGACTACATTGCAGTCGCCTGCCAGATCTCACAACGTCTGGATAGGTGTTTATAGCAATCTGACGCCCGACTGCAAAGTCGATGACATGGCACGCATGGTTGCTGCGTGCAGCGAGACTGCAATGTAGGCGATCTGGAACATGACCAATGACTCACTCCACAAACTGCTGCTGATGCTGTAAGCAGTAGTTCTTGCATGCATAGATTATAGTTCTACACCCAGACGTTGTCCATAGACAGAACAACTGCATTGTGGGAAATACTTGAATTTTTGTGTTAAATCTTTTGGTCTGCACTCGCATTAAATACACAAATTTAGATTTTTGGGTATCTTAAATTACATGTATGTGTTGTATCACATATGGATTGTATGACACATTATTTAGTGTGTGTTATTTATGAGCGGGGGGCAAAAATGGTTGCGATAATGTATTTATGACATCTTATGTCATAGTCCGGTTGTATACTGGTTGTCAGAGGTTTGAACCAAAATTATTTTCCAATCGTACCGAGCAGAGCCCTTATTTTTTATGTTCCATTCCGGTGTTCCCACCAGAAAATAAAGTTCTGAACCAATTCAAACCCAAAAAGGTAATGATTCATATCGTTCATTTTTTGTTTAAAAAAAATATAACCTGTGAAATCAACATTGTTTTTACATTCAGCTCATTATTTTACTCCTCCAATTAGCGCTGATAGAGTAGCTTGCTCTGGAAAGGGTAAAATAGTTGTTTACGTTTGACTGGTCAGATAAATGCAGGCGCGAGATGCAAGAAAGAGGGGTGGACATGGAGGGGCTTGACTTAAGGCGCTGAACGTCATGACATGATGTGAATTGGAATATGTTTAGACTATTAGTAGCATTATAACATCAACAAATTACAGAATTATATACTAGACTTTAGGAATATTTTTTGAACTAAAAAGAACATTATTAAATGTTTTTCAAGATTCATAGATAGCGGTTCTGTTCCGGAACACTAGAGATCACTTTCGTTCCTGGTTCCGTTTCCGATCCTCCCGAAATGTCATTCTTTTTTGGTTTTCGGTTCTGTTCCCTTAACCAGTTCGAATCCCTGCTGGTTGTAATAGGACGTTTTGTAAATGTCTTGTTAAATAGTAAGTAAAATAAATCTTACCAGATAAGAACGAGAATATGATTTATTTTCCATTACGTGATATCGTCATGATAAAGACATCTTTACCTGGTTGTAACGGAGACATTCTCAGTCTACAACTAGAAAATGACATCATTATGATGTCACATGTCCATTTTTGAGTCTCTTTGGCGATTCTCTGTAAGTCGTACTGTTACTACAGTGCTTTGCCTCGTCCGAGGAGCTGCCATTGCGTGTTTTATCAGCTGTGTCCTATTTCCCACTCCCGCAGGTACAAGTGCCAGTGCAAACAGTGAGGTGCCAATACACCGCGTATCCATCCACTAATGTGTTCCATTGGTCTTTAATTAAGGTTAATTCAAGTTAATATGTGATCAATTACAGTAGAAACCCTCATTAGGAACTATTTAAATGTTAATAGGGAGAAATGCAGTATTACATGTTTAGGCTAGATTGTGTTACGTTTCTCACGTAATTTATGGGTTCAATTTTCAACAGTAATAGGAAGCAGACTCCATGATACAGTATACTGTACGTTTTATAACAACTCTCTTACTAATAGGTATGGCGGAAATTCTGTGCTAAAAATGTATTCTCCCCTTACACTTTGCTGAACATCAATTCACAATGCCAAATATTTTATTTTGCCTGAACTTTGTGTTATTTAAGAGTAATACCTTTTCAGTTGAGGTATGGATTTTTAAGTTTACATAGCAATAAAATGCTTAAAACAAAAGAGGTTCTCAAGTTTCTGCCCACTTTTATTATTTATCCTATATCTGCATAAGGGTGCTTTGCGGTTCCATGTAGAATCTTTTAGACTGCCATATTCAGTATGAAGCGAGCCATTGAACCCTCGTTGGTTCTATATAGAGCCTTTACTTCAATCCCAATAGTCCATCTGAGTGACTGTGCTTGGTCTCTGTGCCTTTGATAGCCTGACAGAGTGACTATACGACACAAAGCTATGACAGGCTGTCCATGTTAGCCCTAACCTGGATCCCATTTGGAAATGTCAAACGTCACTCACGTCAAGGCGTGTAAGAGAGAGACCCGCAGCCCTCTCTTGTCTTGTCTTGACCCGGACCCCCAGGGAAGACCAGTGAGCCCGGCCTTCATTTACCATCTCTACACCAGGCTGGCTTCCAGCTTCCTCTGGCCTCTCAGATGACGCAGTGACCTTGCCCCCATCCCTTCTTCCCTCCCTTCTTCTCTCTGTTAGTAGAAGTGGTGGGTTAGGTCATGACCTTGAGTTCCTACCGCTTCCTGGTCAGAGACCTCTGCACCAAACAGGCAGACACTGACAGCCAGCCTTGTGTTTCAACTTGTCCCAAAAATATAGCCCCTGCGCTACGGCGCTGCACTGTCCTTTTGACCTCTGTCCCCCTTCTCCCCTCCCCTCTCTCTCTCCCTCCCTCACCTGTCCTGGATCCTGGTTCAGCCAGTTGTGCAGGCAGCCAGGGTCCAGTGTACGCTCAAGTCCACAAGCCCCTCATCTCTGATTCTCCATCCCTGTGACCTGAGTGAAAATTGGCCTGGGAGCAGAGTGTGAGAGGTGGATTGCTCAAATGTGATAAAGCGGTACACTTTGACCATTTGTGTGTGTGCGTGCTTGCTTGCATCTACAATGACATGCTTCACAGGACATTATCAGCAGGCAGAGGTTTACAGCATCGTCGTCGCAGCTGGGGGCCCCGACTACTGACAAACCCAAACACACTCCACATTGCACACCACCTAACCATCTCAGGCATTTGTCTCCTGGATACCAAGGACTCCTTTAATTTTCTCCCCGACACTCCTCCATGCACTGTGAAACTATTTCAAGGTGATTTTTGGCATCTTCATCCTAAAGGTTATTCCGTCTTCCGTAAGCCGAACAACAAAAGGCTACATTCATCAACAAACTAATTAAGAAATGGCTGCTATACTTTAATGGAAGGGAGTCCTCTGATCTGG